TAATTGTTTGATTTGCTTAGATTGTATTGTTATGTTGTGTGTTGAGGCCTCGGCCTGTGTAAGCCACATCGAGTCCTCCGGGAGATGCTAGCGGGGTACAAATAAAGTTTAATAATAATAATAAAATAATAATATAAATAAAAATGTAACGTTTGTTTGTGGGATTAACATAACTCAAAAACCACTGGATGAATTGACACCAAATTTGGACACAAGACACCTAACAACCCAATTATTGACCATCACTTTAAAAAATGATTTTGTCATTTGGGAGCTGTAGTTGCTGGGATTTCTAGTATATTAATACATTATTATAATGAATCTATATTTGTGGTGTCCATCTGAATGCATCTGGAAACTTTGGGTAGGAAAAGTGAGTTGACAAGGGAAAAGAAAAAAAAACTTGTCCTGAGAGGAACGGCGTTACTTTCTCGTCGGAACGGAATTACTCAGTTTTAAGTCCAGGTAACTTCTCTGAGCACCCTCCTTCCTTGGAGACCGCGCGCATGCGCGTTTGGCCCTCTCCCCTCAGCAAAGTCCAGCGCAGGCGCGTTGGCTCTCCGGTTGGCGCATGCGCGCGGCCCTTAGCGAAGTCCCAACCTTCCCTTACCTTCCTCTGGAGGTCCCAGGCGGCGACGCAGGGTTTCCCAAGCTGGGCGCCGAGGAGCCGCTCTCCGCCTAAGAGGGCCAGGCCCCGCGGGCCGCAGCAGCCTCCCCGATAGGTCGCCACCGAGGCTCCGGAGCCGGCTTCCCACACCCAGCAGCACCCACCCGAGGACGAAGCCTCGCCGGCAGACACCAGCGCCACTTCCACAGGCCCGCCCAGCGCCGCCATCTTGGCCTCGGCACGCCCCTTTGGCCGGGGCGCCAGTGCGCATGCGCATCCTGCCAGAGGCTTGCCTTCTCCCGCCAAAAGGGGTTTGCCTTCATCGAATCGTGGAATAAGAACAAGAATAATGAATTAGATTTGATATATTAGTATTACTGTATTACAATATTACTATTTTACATTATTATACTGTATTATTAATCTTACATTGTATTCGTGTATAATATAATATTTGCATAGCACATTATTATGTATTATTATATTGTACTATATTAGTATCCCACAATATATATAATACACTGCCAGTATAGTATACTATTAGTATTATATAGTACTAGCTTGGGTCCCTGGCGTTGCCCGGGTTATTTGAAAAAGTCTGTTTTTAATCGTACAAAATACACAAGATTGTGGGTGAACTACAACTCACATCATGTCAGGTTAACCCCGAGAAACTGCCATCGGTACTTAAAAGTTTGTTATGTTGGGCAAGTTTGCTCTAGCGCCCAAACACAAATCAAAGAACATGAAAGGCACTGCAGACTACTTCAACCAGAGAAGTCAGCCATAGCAGAGCACCTGATGAACCAACCTGGACACAGCATATTATTTGAGAACACAGAAATGCTGGACCACTCTCACAACCACCATGTCAGACTACACAGAGAAGCCATTGAAATCCACAAGCATGTGGACAATTTCAACAGAAAGGAAGAGACCATGAAAATGAACAAAATCTGGCTACCAGTATTTTAAAAAACTCTAAAATTACAACAGCAAAACAGCAGAGAGGAAACAACCAGGCACATCTTAACACCTCTCAACAAAACATTTTCCCAGGCTCAGCCAGGCCTTCAAATGCTAATGAAGGTGGTCAGTTGAAACATTCACACCTAGCTCCAGCAGAGAAGAGCTCTTTGCCCCCACCCCAGCCATTCCACAGATATATAAACCCATTGTCCTAATTCCAACAGACCTCACTACCTCTGAGGATGCTTGCCATAGATGCAGGCGAAACGTCAGGAGAAATGCCTCTAGAACATGGCCCTATAGCCCAAAAAAACCCACAAGAACCTACTTGTTCTAGATGCCTCATCAATGGGTTCAGTGTGCTCTCTGGCTGCAGGGTAAACTACAGCTCCCACTATGGTGAGTCAGTTCCCTCAACCCCCTCCAGTAGGTTTATTTATTTAAAACATATTCCGCCCTTCTCATCCCAAAGGGGACTCAGGGCGGAGCACAGCATATATATGGCAAACATTCAATGCCGGGACACAAATTCTTATATACATACATAAACATTAAAAACATTTATCAAAATATTAAAATACACCATTTAGGTTGAGTTAGTCATGGGGGTTCTGTGTGCCAAGTTTGGTCCAGGTCCATCATTGGTGGAGGTCACAGTTTCCCTGGATGTGGGTGAACTACAACTCCCAGAAAGGAAGGTCAGTTCCCCTCAAACCCTTCGAGTCATCAAATTTGAGCATATCAGGTATGCGTGTCAAATTTGGTCCACATCCATCGGGATTTGGGTTCACAGTGTTCTCTGTAGGTGAACTACAACTCCCCCAAAGCAAGATGAATTTTCCCTAAAGACCTCCAGTATTTTTTTCTGGTCGTGGGGGCTCTGTGTGCTAAGTTTGGTCCAGTTCCATCTTTGGTGGAGTTCAGAGGGTTCATTGATTGCAGGTGAAATATAAATCCCAGTGCCTACAACTCCAAATGTCCAGGCCAGTTCCCCTCAAAACCCACCAGTAGTCAAATTTCAGTTTGGTCCAGATCCATCATTGTTTGGGTTCATAGTGCACTCTGGATTTAGGCGAACTACAATTCCTATAAATCCTTCCAAAGACCTCCAGTATTTTTGTTGGTCTTGGGGGTTTTGCGTGCCAAGTTAGTTCCAGGTCCATTGTTGGTGGAGTTCACAGTGCTCTTAGATTGCAGGTGAACTATACACCTCAGTACTTACAACTATAAATCATGGCAAATTTTCCCCAAACCTTTCTAGTATGTTCAGTTGCTGATCTGTTCCTCTTGTTTGCTGTGTACCATAGAAAAGAGTAGGAAAGGGTTAAGAGAGAGAGAGAGAGGCTGGGGTAATGCCAATTGAGTCAGAAACACTGGGATATCTGTGGTGGAGGAAACACATGAAATCTAGGATGAAATGCCCCCCATATGAAAGCCTTCATTTGAGTGGTGGGCAGTATGGTGTTTATGGAGGACTTTGTACATGTTCATGGAGCTCGCTATAACCTGCAATGTCATTGGAGGGAGGGCCATTGGTGTCTCCAGAATAATAATAATAATATATACCCCACGACCATCTCCCCAAGGGGACTCGGGGCGGCTTACATGAGGCCAAGCCCAACAACACATCAGTAAAACAACAAAGCAGCAAGCAAATAAAACAGTACAATTAATATAACTCACATATAAGCAGTAACACACAAAAATTTAAAACCTTATGGCCGGGCCAGATGTAATAGATTTAACATTTTAAAATAAACACTGGGCATGAACAGAGATAGGATGTATCTAAGCAGGAGGGTTTTAAAGGATAATGTAGGGAGATGAACCCAACAGGTAGTTAAAATGCTTTTGAGGACATTTTGCAGGGAATTGGTCAGAGCAGGGCATTGTTTCCTTTATTCAGGGAAGGCACACTGGAAAAGCCATGTTTTCAGACTCCTCCTAAAGACTGCCAATGTGGGGGCTTGTCTGATATCCTTGGGGAGCGAGTTCCAGAGTCGGGGGGCCACCATAGAGAAGGTCCTCTCCCTTGTCCCTACCAATCGAGCCTGCGAAGGGGGCGGGAGCGAAAGCAGGGCCTCTCCAGATGATCGAAGCGATTGCGTAGGTTCGTACACAGAAATGCGGTCATGTAGGTAGACAGGTCCCAAACCGTTCAGGGCTTTGTAGGTAAGAACCTGCACCTTGAATTGGGACCGGAAAATGAATGGCAGCCAATTGAGCTCCTTAAACGGGGGTTGACTGCTCCCTGTAAGTCGCTCCAGTTAGTAACCTGGCTGCCGCCCTTTGAACCATTTGGAATTTCCGAGCTGCCTTCAAGGGCAGTCCCACGTAGAGTGCATTACAGTAATCAGTGTTATGTAACAGTACGAGGGTTGGAACTTTGCAACACTGCTGTAAAGACGCCATGCAACGAAAACCAAAGAATGTCACGTATACTACATGTTAGTTACATTCCTACTTTACATCATCACGATTGTGATGGTGTCATTCTAATGCATACAGTTCCCCCACATCAGACTGTCAATGCGCAGTATTACTGCTCATTTTTGAAATACCATCTCAGACCAGCTTTGAGGAAAAAACGGCCACACTTTCTGCAGAACACCCCTATCATTTTGCATGATTAATGCTCGGCCACATGCAGTGCAGGCTGTGGCTGATTTTCTCGATCGTTGGGACTGGGAAGTAATCCAATCTGGAGGTGACTAGTAGGAGCTATAGCTGTTTGTGGAGGCAGGAGCTTGTCTGTGGAAGTGGACACCCAGCCACACATACACATATTTTCAATTTTATTATGTGTATATATAAAGCCATATGGCGGAGTAATTTGAGTGTGAATCTAAGGTTAGAATCCTCGTGAGAGGGTGTCAGAAGGGTCATTAAAGAGCATCAGAGATCTATTGGTCATGGGGATTCTGTATGGGAAGTTTGGCCCAATTTTATCGTCGGTGGGGTTCAGAATGCTCTTTGATTGTAGGTGAACTATAAATCTCAGCGACTACAACTCCCAAATGTCAAGGTCTATTTTCCCCAAACTCCACCAGTGTTCACATTTGGGCATATTTGTACCAAATTTGGTCCAGATCCATCATTGTTTGAGTCCACAGTGCTCTCTGTATTTATGTGAACTACAACTCCAAAACCCATGGTCTGTGCTCACCAAATTCTTCCAGTATTTTTTGTTGTTCATGGGAGTTCTTCTGTGTTCCAAGTTTGGTTCAATTCAATCATAGGTGGAGTTCAGAATGCTCTCTGATTGTAGATGAACTATAAATCCCAGCAACTACAACTCCCAAATGACAAAATCATTCCCCCCCAACCAAGTACTCAGATTTGGGCCAAATTTGATCCAGTGAATGAAAATGTATCCTGCGTAACAGATATTTACATTGCAATTTATAACAGTAGCAAAATGGCAGTTATGAAGTCGCAATGAAAATAATGTTATAGTTTGGGGTCACCACAATATGTGGTACTGTATTAAGGGGTCGCAGCATTAGGAAGGTTGAGAACCACTGCCTTATATATTGGAAAGAGCTTGATGGCAAGCATCAACAGAATCACATTCCTACCAGAAAGAGCTGCATTCAGTCTCTTAACCAAGAAAAGGACTGTCGCGTTTAAGAGAATCCCAAAAGACAGGATGAGCCACATCAGAGCTATCAATTAACTTAAATCTTTTATTGGTTATTTACCTCCGTTCGTCACCTCTGTAAACTCGTAGCAGTACAAAAATATTTTTATTTATTATTTGAATTAGAATGCATTTTGAGAGATGACAGCAGACGAGGGAAGCAATTCGCCCGCAACATGTAGTTGTACCAAGGTCCGGCGAAGGGTGCCGACAATGTTAAGACAGAGAGGGGTTTAAAACAGAGAACACAGGTGCACACAGTAACTGAAGGCATTGTAGAAGGTCAGAACAGAAGGGAGGAACCATTGAGTTTGAAACAGGACACGCGACAGCGCAGGCAAATGCAATAGGTACACAGTCCTTCACATAGTTGTTATAAGGTGCATTTGTTAGGAGAGAGATGCTGGAACTAGATTAAAACGCAGAGTAAACCAAGGAACGAAAAGGTCCTAGGACACAGACAAATGGCTCTACAAACTGCTCGTTGGGATGGAGCCGGTGAGAAAGCTTGGCCAGGGATATTCAGAGGAACAAAGGAGGGTGAAGTTGCGATGTTTCCTCCTCATCCAAGTGAGCAGAATGCCCTTCAGAGTAGCTAAACCGGTGGGTTGCATTTCATGTGCTAATTCTTGGGACTAGTGCAAATTGCTGGGGCATTCAGTGGCATTGCTTGCTCTTTACATACAAAAGGACAGTTTGGGCTCTAGCCACACAAACACGAAGGTAACAAGTGAGCATCTACAATATGACTGCTGCTGAGCTGAAGCTTGTAAACAGTCCTTAGTTGAGAAATGGGGGGATGTTATTTTGGGACTACAATTCCCAGAATCGCAACTCAGGGAGCTGTAGTCTAAAAAGGGACATTCCGCCTCTCTGCTCAGCTATTCAGTTGTATTCTCTCATCTCCACAATTTGGATTTTACCAGAAAATATGATCTACCCATCCCAGGTTTGGCTGAATTGGGCATATCTAAATCACAGCTCAGGACCGTTAGGAAGACAGTGGGTGGATTCATGCAAAAAGCGGCATCTTTTCTCCCGGAAACAGTTGACCCAGACTACGCAGAAATATAGATGTAAAATAACCAAATGAGGGAAGGTCTCAGTTTCAAGCATCGTCCAGCCGCAAGTGCGGAAGAACCGCCTCCTTCCTAGTCTGTCTCATTGTCGTCGTCCGTGATGCTCTGGCCATTGACAGCCAGAGAGTCGTAAGGGCCCTGGGACAGGTCTTCGAAGTCATGACTGGTGGCAGGAGAGATGATGTCCGGACTTGTGTCGCAGGACTCCGTGCTCTGCTCCGAGGTAGCAATGGTTGTGGCGGTGCTTTTGGGGACTGGGGTGAAGTCGTCGTCGTCCAGGATGGGAGATTCATGAATATCTAGGACGGAGAGGAGGAAGGAAACAACAAGAGGAAGAAGAGGCATAGCAGAGTTAACACTGGAGGACGTAGATGAGGTTCTCATTCATTAAATTAGCTTACTATTTGTCCTGGCAGAACACAGCATTGTGCTGAAGGATCAGGAATTAACAACCATGGTATCCTGGACCGCCTTGTGGAACTGGGACTTGGAGGCATTGTGTTACAGTGGCACTGGTGGACTCCTGCTTGACCCCATAGCCTTAGTCCTGTGGGGTCCCTCAGGGTTCAGTTCTGTCCCTCAGGTTATTTAACATCTACATGAAATCGCTGGGAGAGATTATCAGGAGATGAAAACCTGAGCTCAAGTGTGCTTATTCAAGCGGTGAGCTACTAAGCAAGGTCAGAGACTGTGCTATAAAATCTCTGCTAACTGTGACCATGACTCTGCAGTGTTTTGGGGATCGGCACTAACTGCTTGTCTTTGAGACAGTCCATCCCATTGTGCGGTTGGAGGAGGAATTAACGTGCCTACCTAGAAGGGGTGTTTTGTGTGTTTACCCCTGTGAGAGAATCATCAGTATGATCGAGCACATTCTGGAGTCTATAGTAGTGGGAGTCTTATAATATCATGTATGAGAGAAGGCAAGATCAAATGGAGGTTTACTCACTGCTAAATGCATCCGGATACTGTTTGGCTAGCTTCCCTTTCAGCATCCTGCAGAGAAAAAGAAGCTTACCATGAAACCAGACTTAGCAGTCAGTGCTATGTAACAGTACGAAGGTTGGAACTTTGCAACACTGCTGTAAAGACGCCACGCAACAAAAACCAAAGAATGTTGTGTATACTACATGTTAGTTACATACCTACTTTACATCATCACGATTGTGATGGTGTCATCCTAATGCATACTGTTCCCGCACATCAGACTGTCAGTGTGCAGTATTACTGCTCATTTTTGAAACACCATCTCAGACCAGCTTTGAGGAAAAAATGGCAACACTTTCTGCAGAACGCCCCTATCATTTTGCATGATAATGCTCAGCCACATGCAGCGCAGACTGTGGCTGATTTTCTCGATCGATGGGGCCGGGAAGTGTTGTACCATCCAGCATACTCCCCAGACCTAAACCCTTGTGAGTGACTTAATTCCTAAGATGAAGGAACCACTTCATGGCATTTGCTTCAGAACTGTTCTAGAGATTCTTGTGGCAGTAGACCGCTCCATTCGAACTATCAACAGAACAGGTGCTGCAACAGGTATCCTATGACTTCCACGTCGTTGGAAACGGGTTGTACACAATGCTGGCGACTATATTGAAGGACTGTAAAACTTGATGGCATGTATCACTTTTGTATCATATGTAAATAGTTGCCACTATTAAAGTACCAACCCTCGTATATTCAAAAACAGTCTCCATAGCCTGTTGTTATTTCTACCCCACTTTCCAAAAAGAGATCCAAAGCCAAGCAAGAACTATAGCAAGACTATCTGATGTAGGGTTAATGGGACTTAATTGCCTTTTTCAAGACCAGCCCAACACTTTTCTGACTGTTTCAACCTCTCAAAATGTAGTGCATGCAAGAAAGAAATGGACACAAGGAGGGAAACACTAATCGACAAGCAAGCTTTCAGTCCAGACAACACTTTCTCATGATTCTCCAGAAGGCAACAGTTAGGTCTGGCTTACTAAACATCCCAGAGTTGACAGAAAGGTGAATGGAGCTGCTGGAGAAAGGCTGGTTGGGTCAGAAAGATGTGCGTTGTGTACCTGATTCTCCGGAAGATGCTATCCAGGTCCTTCTTCATTTCCACCAGTGTCCGGGTGTGGTGCAGGAAGCGTTCGTTCATCTGCTGCATGCGAATGCCAGAGAGGTTGTTGAAGTTGAGCAGCATCTCATTGGTTTTCTCAAAGCGGTCGAGCCTGGAAAAGCGGGCCGAAAAATGTTATACGCACCTCCCAGAAGCTCTCCGGTCAAGCAGAGCAGATCCTAAGTTAAGTGCCCTCCCTGCCGTACTTAACTATTCTGGGAAACGTGGGTTCAAGACCTCACAGTTTCCAAGCTCTCCTTCAAAGGCTAGACATGAACTGCAATGGCTGCTTACTAGGCATGTGCAAAAAATGGGAAATTTTGAAAGTCAGGAGCAATTTCCGAGATATTTCTTGGCGAACAACAAAATATTTCAGAAATTGAAACTCATCCCATACATTTTTGTTTTAATTTTGTAAGTCTCGGAAGGCTCCCTCCCAAAGTCAGTTTCATATTCAATGTAAGGCAAGGAAGCAAACCTGAAAGCAAAGCCAAATGGCTGCCTTAGTGCCTTCCTTGTGTTTCCTCTGTGAAAATAATGGCTTCTCACTATTGGGAGCAAAACGGGGAGCATTGCATTTTGTGAACAGCACAGAACTTCGGGATATGTAGTTTGGGAAGGGAGGATCCTTATCCCAGATAATTCATAAGGCCCTGCCTTAATCTACATTTCCCAGACTGCATCAGCATCCGAAAGCACTAATCACCAAATCAGAAATTTGAAAATTCGCCAAAATCAATGGATAAGTGAAATGTTCTGAGATTTGGTGGGCTAACAGTGGTCAATATGTTCTAGTATTGTAGCAAGTTCCACCCCAATAGCTTTAAAAATGAGGGATATAGGAGCCCCTGAGGTTTCTCCAATTATGGTCATTTAATTATGTGCATGCGCAAATTGTCCCTCTCTTAAAAACAGCCACAATCTGCAAAGAGGAGGACTGACTGATACATCTCTCTGGAAAAAAATGACCCAACTGGATGGCCTTTGGGGGTCCCCTCCAACTCAATAGGGGAAGCATATTAATTGGATGCCAGGAGAGTTTGGATGGTGCCTTTCTGCCCGGAAGAAGGGGGTCAGTCTAGATGACCCTAGATGGGGGTCTGTACTATATTTTTCTTCCTGGGTTGTTTCTGCCAGAAAAACAAAGTTTATTGAGTAGAACAACTACTGTCAAAGTAATGTCCACACAATGAAACAGGAAATAACACTTTCAAAGTAGGAACAGAATTTCTTTAATATTAAAAATATTTTTAACAAAAATTTTGAAAATTCCCCAAAATTCTGTGGATAAGTGAAATGTTCTGAAATTTGATGGGCTAAGAGTGGTCAATATGTTCTACAACTGTATCAAGTTTTACCTCAGTAGCTTTAAAAATGAGGGAGATAGGAGCCCCTGAAGTTTCCCCAATTATGGCCATTTAATTATGTGCAATTACTATTACGAAATAGCAATGAGTTTTGTAATGACTTTTGAACCATTTTTTTAAATGGATCGCACATTTCTACCAGTTATGGTCCAGTTGTTTTTTTTTTTTTCATGTCAGGAGCAACTTGAGAAACTGCAAGTTGCTTCTGGTGTGAGAGAATTGGCTGTCTGCAAGGACATTGCCCAGGGGATGCCCAAATGTTCTGATGTGTTATCATCCTTGTTGGAGGCTTCTCTCATGTCTCCGCATGGGGAGCTGGAGCTGAAAGAGGGAGCTCACCCACGCTCTCCCTGGATTCAAATCTCCAACCTGTCTGTCTTCAGTCCTGCTGGCACAAGGGTTTAACCCAATGCACCACCGGGGGCTCCAGTGAAATAACACAAGGGGTCAAGAAGGAGATGGTGGGACACGTTGACGAGACTTCAAGATACCCTAAAATGGGCAAATGTTAAGGGACGCGGCATGAAGAAGCCTTACATGTTTTTCTGTGCCAGGATGATGGCGTTGACGTCCTCCGAGTTGACCATGCTGAGCACCCGGCTGCAGAAGACACCCGAGGCAGAGGGCTCCATGGTCCGAGGGGCGCAGGGCCTGCCAGAAAAGAGGCACAAAGAAAGCCTTGTGTCAAAATACCAGCCAAATCCCACAAAACATCTGTGGGGTTCCAACTCAGTAGCCCCAAATATCCCCAATCCCTTTGCCCTCACATGAAATTCAAAGATTTACAATGGATGATGCCTGGCTCGACAACTGTCCATGTGAAAAATATCTGGGAGTCTTCGTGGGCAACAAGATGAACCTGAGCCAATAGTGTAATGCAGCAGCTCAAAAAGTCAATGGGATTCTGGGCTGCATCAGAAGAAGTCTAGTGTCCAGACAAAGGGAAGTCATTGTGCCTTTCTATTCTGCTTTGTTTAGACCTCTTTACCTGGAATACTGCATCCAATTCTGGGCACCACTGTTCAAGAGAGAGAATAATAATAATAATAATAATAATAATAATAATAATCAAAGTATGGATTGTTGATGTCACAACCAGGTGACAGCAGGATTGCAGAGAAACAACTGGAAAAGCTGACACGATATGAGGATTTAAAAATCGAACTGCAAAGACTCTGGCACAAGCCAGTCAAGGTGGTCCCAGTGGTGATCGGCACACTGGGTGCAGTGCCTAAAGACCTTGGCCTGCACTTAAACACAATCGGCGCTGACAAAATTACCACCTGCCAGCTGCAGAAAGCCACCTTACTGGGATCTGCACGCATTATTCGCCGATACATCACACAGTCCTAGACACTTGGGAAGTGTCCGACGTGTGATCCAATACAACAGCCAGCAGAGTGTCTGCTGTGGACTCATCTTGTTGTGTTTATAATAATAATAATAATAATAATAATAATAATAATAATTTAACTTTATATATATTTTGATGTTTGCGTTTAATTCTGTTTTAATTTTGTATATTTTAATTTTTTTGCTAATGTTTTTATGTCAAGCCACATTGAGTCCCCTTTGGAGAGATAAAGTGGGGTATAAATAAATAAAATGACTATAAAGATAATATAATAATAGATATAATAAATATATTATTAATAAGTATTATATAATAAATAATATTAATAATAAACATAATATATTAATAATACATATTATAAGATTATAATATAATAACTATATTATAATAATAATGACTCTAAACTGGGAGATGTCCGGAGGAGGACAACTAAGATGTTGGAAATAGCAATCTTCTACAAGCCTCCTATGCTAGTTATTTGTTATGTATGTAGTTGAAATTGCTTACTAAATTGTATGTATGTATTGGTTTGTATTTTCCCTTAACTCTATGTTGTTAGAGGTTGTTGGAGGGACTACAGACCATGTGACCCAGATCTTAGAATATTCAAAGTGAGACTCCTTTTTAGAATGCGTCTGAATCAGAAGTCAGTTATGTCAGTTAAGGTTTGAATCAGTTGGAAGTTAGAAGTCATGTCTCTAGCACTGACCCTGACTAATTGACTCTGTTGATGTCAGAGCAGGAGTATACTTGTAGGGGCTGTAGTCTGAAAATGGATCATAGGAGTTGTAGTCCTAAAAGAAAAGAGCAGATGCTGCAGTTTTTAGAAAAACAGTTCCCTCCCAAATTCTTTGTATGCAAAACAAGAAGATAAGACCAGAGTTTGGCTGCTGTTCAAGCAAGTCAGGGTCAGTGCTAGAGACATGAAGTTCCAGTGAGTTTCTATCTTAGCTATTTGCGTGCATAGAATAGAGAGCCAATTGAAATACAATGAACAAGGAATAAGCCAATGAAAAAGACAAAATGTAAACACCAATCAAAATTGTGTTGTTTGATCTGCTGTAAATTATAAAAGATTGCAGCCCCACTTTATGCTTCAAGCCAACTGTCCACCATTTGCTGGCTGGGAAATAAAGCCTTCTTCACTTGACTCAACTTGTCCTTGTGGTCCATCCCTGCGCCACCCCCTTGAGAGCAGAAGAGAAAGGAACCTCTGAGAGCGTGCAGAGTTCCCCTTCATAGTCAGTATGCTGCAGTGAGATGTTTAGTCAATATATAAATCTGTTTGCAGCAGATGTATAGTACACTATAGTACAGTCAGTTGAAGTGCCAGTCTACTACTGAGCACAATTCAAAGTGCTGGCTTTAGCCTATAAAGCCCTAAACGGTTCTGGCCCAGCTTACCTGTCTGAACATATCTCTCCCTATGAACCATCTCGGAGATTAAGATTGTCCAGGGAGGCTCTGCTCTCAGTCCTACCTCCTTCGCAGGCGTGACTGGTGGGAACGAGAGTCAGGGCCTTCTCAGTGGTGACCCCTGGCTATGGAATCCCTTCCCAGTGACATTAAATCAGCCCCCTAGCCTTCAGAAGAAAGGTAAAAACTTGGCTGTGGGGCCAGGCCTTCGGAGAATAGTGCAGTGCAATTAACAGATCTGGAATATATGGAATGACTATGGAACGGCTTGGACTACCACTATGGATGGTGTGATTTTAATATGGAATGGAATGCTTTTAAATGTTTAATATGTTTTTAATTTTAATCTAATTTAATTTAATTTTTTGGAATTGAATGTGTTTTAAGGCATTGAATAATTGCCTCCATGTAAGCTGCCATGTAAGGAGCCCCCGGTGGCGCAGTGGGTTAAAGCGCTGAGATGCTGAGCTTGTTGACTGAAAGGTCGCAGGTTCGATTCCGGGGAGCGGCGTGAGCTTCTTCTGTCAGCCCTAGCTTCTGCCAACCTAGCAGTTCGAAAACATGCAAATGTGAGTAGATCAATAGGTACTGCTCGGCGGGAAGGTAATGGCGCTCCATGCAGTCATGCCGGCCACATGACCTTGGAGGTGTCTACGGACAACGCTGGCTCTTCGGCTTAGAAATGGAGATGAGCACCACACTCCAGAGTCAGACATGACTGGACTTAATGTCAGGGGACAACCTTTACCTTACCTTTTAAGCTGCCTTGAGCCCCCTTTGGGGTAGAGAAAGGCACTTTTCATTGCTATCTCATCTAGTGTAGATAGCACCTCCGACAGATGGCTATCCAACCTCTGTTTAAAAGCCTGGTAGCTTAATATACATGGACTTAGTTTCATGTGCAACAGTCTTCAGACTTATGTGTATAAGGTGTATATGAAACATCAATGTAAATACTGCATCTTAACTCTTGTAAAAAAATTGAACTATCCCTTTCTCTGAGTGGTGAAAGGTGACTCATTTTGGCTCTCCAACCTGCCTTTGACTTATACATTGAGTTTGACTTAGACTTATACCAAAGTACATATAGGCATATAAACAAATATAAAAGAAAAAGGAGAAAATATAATCATAGAATCATAGAGTTAGAAGAGACCTCATGGGCCATCCAGTCCAATTCCCTGCTAAGAAGCAGGAAAATTGAATTCAAAGCATCTCTGACAGATGGCCATCCAGCCTCTGTTTCAAAGCCCCCAAAGAAGGAGCCCCAACCACACTCCGGGGCAGAGAGATCTTTTTCACATGTACTTCTGAAGATCTGGTATATATGTTGTGCATTGGCATAACGTTGTCCTTAACAGTTCAAAGAGATAACCAGGGATTTCAATTTAACAGCTGAGAAGCCTAAATTGCCTTCTGTCAAGGGTATTTTGACTGTGCTTTTCCTGCATGGCAGAATGGGGTCAGACTAGATGGCCCATCGGATCATAGAATCATAATCATAGAATCATAGAGTTGGAAGAGACCTCAAAACCATCCAGTGCCAAGCAGCAGGAAAATTGCATTCAAAGAGCATTCTCCCCATATTGCACTTTCCCCCAACTTATTGAAAGTTTAACTCCACTGTTCAGTCCTCTACGAGCTCCTTCCCTACAAATTGCACTTTTCATTGCTATCTCATCTAGTGTTTTATAATTTTATGTCAAACATCTGGCCTACCTATTGTGTTTGATTTTCTATTATGTTATTTTGTATTATTTATTTTATTTTATTGGTTTATTTTTACTGTGATGTTATTTTTTTGTTTATATTTTATGTTGCTGTATTGTAGCAATACAAGGTGGTCAGTTGAAACATTCACACCTAGCTCCAGCAGACAAGAGTCCTTTGTCTCACCCTGGTCATTCCACAGATATATAAACCCTTTTTCCTAGTTCCAACAGACCTCACTACCTCTGAGGATGCTTGCCATAGATGCAGGCGAAACGTCAGGAGAAATGCCTCTAGAACAGGGGTCCACAAATTTTTTAAACAGAGGGCCAGGTCACAGTCCCTCAAACTGTTGAAGGGCCGGATTATAATTTGGAAAAAAAATGAATGAATTCCTATGCACACTGCACATATCTTATTTGTAGTGCCAAAGAAGCTGATGAGGAAACACAACATACAAACTATCTACAGACCCACCAAGAAAATCTAACAAATGCTACGTTCAGCAAAGGACAAGAGGGATCCTCTCACCTCTGCAGGAGTCTACCGTATACCATGCAGCTGTGGACAAGTCTACATAGGGACCACCAAACGCAGCATTGCCCAAACCCGAATCAAGGAACATGAAAGGCACTGCAGACTACTTCAACCAGAGAAGTCAGCCATAGCAGAGCACCTGATGAACCAACCTGGACACAGCATTTTATTTGAAAACACAGAAATGCTGGACCACTCTCACAACCACCATGTCAGACTACACAGAGAAGCCATTGAAATACACAAACATGTGGACAATTTCAACAGAAAGGAGGAAACCATGAAAATGAACAAAATCTGGCTACCAGTATTAAAAAACTCTAAAATTGCAACAGCACAACAGAGAGGAAACAGGCAGGGACATCTAATTACCTCTCAACAAAAGTTTGCCCCAGGCGCAGTCAGGCCATTGTATGCTAATCAAGGTGGTCAGTTGGAACATTCACACCTAGCTCTAACAGAGAAGAGTCCTTTGTCTCACCCTGGTCATTCCACAGATATATAAACCCTTTTCCTAGTTCCAACAGACCTCACTACCTCTGAGGATGCTTGCCATAGATGCAGGCGAAACGTCAGGAGAGAATGCCTCTAGACCATGGCCATAAAGCCCGAAAAAACCTACAACAACCCAGTGATTCCGGCCATGAACCTTCACAATACAATAATTAAAGTGAAGAACAATTATAATCAATATAAGCTTATTAGTATTTCAATGGGAAGTGTGGGCCTGCTTTTGGCTGATGAGATAGCATTGTTGTTGTTGTTGTGTGCTTTCAAGTCATTTCAGACTTAGGTTGACCCTGAGCGAGGGCGGGGTAAATGACCTTGGAGGGCCGTATCGGCCCTCGGGCCGTAGTTTGAAGACCCCTGCTCTAGAACTTGGCCATACCATACCGCCCGAAAAAACCTACAACAACCCAGTGATTCTGCCCATGAAAGCCTTTGACAATACATTGGTGAGCACCCTCTGGGTTCATCCGCTTAACCAATTACAGATCCACCTAACCGTAGTTTTGCCTAGCCCACATTGGACTAGTTTGCCAGAAGGTCATGGGGGACCTTGTTGAAGGCCTTACTGAAATCCACAGCATTCACTGCTTCTACCCAGCTTGTAACTCTAAATTGTAAGCCTAAATTGCCTTCTGTCAGGGGTGTTTGACTGCTTTTCCTGCATGGCAGAATGGGGTCTCTTCCAACTCTGTGATTCTATGACTTCTGTGCTCAGTAGACCACAAACCTCACAAGGATTGCCCCTTGTGAAAGCCAACAAGCCCTTCCCAATAGGAAACCCCCTCCTTTCCAGCTGACAAGTCTTTGATTCTATGATTCTATAAGTCTGTATCTGTGTTGGCAGAAGAGGACCCTTCCCAAACCCCGCCCCTTCCCCAAGCTCCGCCCACAACCCCGCCCCCTGAGACACTCCATCGAGTTAGGCCCCGCCCACTCACTGTTCCCCAATGGCCATTTTGGCCCCGCCCCCGACGCACCTGAAAGGAGCTCCAAAGCCAAAGGCTCACATCCCTGACGCGACCGAGGCCTGGGCTGAGAGACAGAGCGCTTCTTCCACTCAGCCCCGCCGGAAGGCTCCTTTCCAACAGCCTCTAACGGCTCACTTCCGGGTGGGGCGTGGCTACGCGCTGACATAGGCTTTGCGTCCCTGGACGTACCGTGCGTGGTTACCCTAGCAATGGTGGACCCGCCTGCGCTTTGCTTCCTACTCCGTTGGCTCCGCCCCCGCCGCATTTTCATTGGGGGATAAAAAGAGGGCTAAACCACGCCCTCTCTCTATGTTATGGGAATGCAATAACACAGATATTAGATTTATTCATTCATCGATTTTTTGGATTGATATCCCGCTTCATCTTTTCAGAAAACAATAAAATAGTATTGCCATTTTATATTATTATATATTATCAGCAGTATTATATTTAATATATTAGTGTTATATTGGTATTATATAGTATTATATTGCATTATTAATATTATATGAACATATAATATATGATAATAGCATAGCACAATATTGGTATTATATATTATATTGTATTATTAATATTATATCAATATATAATATATGATATTAGCATAGCACAATGTTAGTATTATGTATTATTATATTGTATTATTAATATATGAATATATAATATATGATAATATTAGCATAGCACAATATTAGTATTATATATTATTATAGTGTATTATTAATATTATATGAATATATAATATATGATAATATTAGCATAGCACAATGTTAGTATTATGTATTGTTATATTGTATTATTAATATTATATGAATATATAATACATGATATTATTAGCATAGCACAATGTTGTATTATGTATTGTTATATTGTATTATTAATATTATATGAATATATAATATATGATAATATTAGCATAGCACAATATTCGTATTATATATTATTATAGTGTATTATTAATATTATATGAATATATATATTATTAGCATAGCACAATATTAGTATTATAATGTATTATTAATATTATATGAATATATAATATATGATATTATTAGCATAGCACAATATTAGCATTATGTATTATATTGTATTATTATTAGTATTATAATGTATAATATTATTATTAATATTATGTCAATATAAAATATTATATTATTCTTCCAGTTAATGGATTACTTCATTCTCTCTACTGAGTCATCCTGAATACGCAGATTCATTTTAAAACCTCGGATCGGGGCAAAGGTCAGTTTGATGGGAACTGTAGTCTGTAAAGACCTTAAGGAAAAGCTGATGGGAACTGTTGCCTGTAAAGACACAAAGGAAAGCTTGATGTGAACTGTAGTCTGTAAAGACTTTAAGGAAAAGCTGATGGGAACTGTAGCTTGCAAAGACGCAAAAGGAAGGATGATGCGAACTGTAGTCTATAAAGACTTTAAAGGCTGATGGGAACTGTAATCCGAAAGGGTACAAAAGGAAGGATGATGGGAACTATAGTCTGTAAAGTCAAAGGGAAGCTTGATGGGAACTGTAGTTTAAAGGCACAAAGGGAAGGCTGGTGTGAACTGTAATCCAAAAGGACATAAAGACTGATTGGGACTGTAGTCTATAAAGAGCCAAAGGGAAGCCTGATGGGAACTGTAATCTGAAAAGACACAAAGGTTGATGGGAACTGTAATCTGAAATGACACAAAGGCTGATGGGAACTGTAATCTGAAATGACACAAAGGCTAATGGGAACTGTAGTCTCTAAAGAAATTAAGGAAAGGCTGATGGGAACTGTAATCCGAAAGGTCACGAAGTCAAGGCTGATGGGAACTGTAATCTGAAAAGACAGAGAGGCTGATGGGAAATGTAGTCTGTAAAGACGTTAAGGAAAAGCTGGTGGGAACTGTAATCACAAAGAGAAAGCAGATGAGAACTGTAGTCTGAAAAGGCATAAGCAGAAAGCTGGTTGTAAATATACAGTTTGGGGACGGTCACTGTCCCTTTAAGAGGTTGCGCAATGGGGGTGTGCGGAGGTCAGGCTGGAGTGGCAGCTCTCGCAGCCTATCAGCCGCCTCCTCGGCCATCAGCTGATGGAAAGGGAGGCGGGACCAAGGAAGTGAGCAATTCCTGGGTCCAGGTGAGTGTTTTGCAAGCAGAGGAAAGTGAAGGGGGATTGGAGATTGGGGTAAAAGCCATGCCATTTCCTGCCCACCCTACTGCCTTTGCATTGCAATGGGTCGCTTCTCTCTTCTGCTTGCAATGGCTTGCAAGATGAGTGCAAGACATTCAGAATCTGGCTTTTCTGCTGCTTTTAATTTCTTCCTCCTTCCACCCAGCATAATGTCTACAGTCTTTAGGTTTCTCAATGTGTTTCAATCTCTGCCCTGTGTACTCCATATGCATTTGATAGAATTGGTATATTCTAGAACTAACATTTTAATACATGCGTTTATGGATTATTTTCTTGCAATGTTTGTGTGTTTTGACTGTACCGTGAACCGCCGTGAGGAAATCATAAAAATATTATTATTATTATTATTAAATAATATATTAGTAATATATACACTTTTATTATATTTATTTTATTCTATTATTCCTATTTTAATATTATATTTATATCCTCCTTTCTTCTCTTATAATAATAATGCTAATAATAATTGTATATTAGTAATATATACGCACACATAATATTATACGATATTAATTATATTTTATTTATTTAATTTTATTCTTATTAGTAATATTTATATCCCACTTCTCTTATTATTATTAAATTGTGTATTAGTAATATATGCACACCCATAATATTATATTAATTATATTTAATTTAATTTATTTTTATTGGTAATATTTTAGTACTATATTTATATCCCACATTCTTCTCTTATTATTATTATTATTAAATTGTATATTTATAATATATAAAATATCATTAGAAGCACTTTAATTACTCGTTGGGTTGCTCTCTACTTTTGGTTTAAAACCCTCCTACTAGATACATCCTCTGTTCATGCCCAGCATTTATTTTTAAAGTTTTAACTATTACATTTGGCCCAGCCATAGGTTTTTAAATCATTGTGTGTTATTGTCTATGTGTGAGTTATATTAATTGTATTATTTATTTTGCTTATTGCTTGTTGTTTTTATCGATGTGTTGTTGGGATTGGCCTCATGTAAGCCACTCCAAGTCCCTTGGGGAGATGGTAGCGGGGTATAAATAAAGTTTTATTATTATTATTATTATTATTATTATACATATATTATATTGTTTTATATTAATTTTATGTCTATTAGTAATACTAGCTTGGGGTCTCGGCGGTCCACGAGTTATTTGAAAAAAGCATTGTTTAATGTATTATCGAAGGCTTTCATGGCCGGAATCACTGAGTTGTTGTAGGTTTCTCCGGGCTATATGGCCATGGTCTAGAGGCATTCTCCTGACGTTTCACCTGCATCTATGGCAAGCATCCTCAGAGGTAGTGAGGTCTGTTGGAACTAGGAAAAAGGGTTTATATATCTGTGGAATGACCAGGGTGAGACAAAGGACTCTTGTCTGTTGGAGCTAGGTGTGAATGTTTCAGCTGACCACCTTGATATAATGGCCTGACAGTGCCTGGAGCAAACTTTTGTTGAGAGATGATTAGAAGTCCTTTTTTGTTTCCTCTCTGTTGTTGTTTGTTGGAGGCAAAACAGAACATTTAGGATGAATTCGTCTCTGAATGAAAGCTTTCCTTGGGTGGCGTGCAGTATGGTGTTTGGGGACGACATTGCCAGGGGTAGGGAAACATGTTCATAGTGCCCACTCTAACCTGGAATGTCAGTGGAGGGAGGGCAATCGGTGCTTCCTGCATAGTGGGAACTATAGCCTTTGTGGAGGCAGGAGGCTGTCTGTGTAACTGGACACCTCCACCACATACAGTCATATACATTTTCACTTTTATTATGTGTATAGATTAGTAATACACACACACACACACACACATAATATTATATTATACTAATTTTATTATTTTATTTTATGTAATGTTATTACTGGTTTCATGTTGTTGTATTTTTTTTTACTTATTACTAGCTTGGGTGCCTGGCATTGCCCATGTTATTTGAAAAAGTCAGTTTTGTAAATGTCCTAAATGCATAAAGTTGTGGGTGAACTACATCATGCCAGGTTAACCCCGAGAAAGTCCATCAGTACTTCAAGTTTGCTATGTTTGCTCCGAGTTTCTCAACCTGGGGGTCGGGACCCCTGGGGGGGGGGGGTCACGATGGGGTGTCAGAGGGAACGCCAAAGACCATCAGAAAACACAGTATTTTCTGTTGGTTGTGGGGGTTCTGTGTGGGAAATTTGGCCCGATTTTATTATTGGTGGAGTTCAGAATGCTCTTTGATTGTAGGTGAACTATACATCCCAGTAACTACAACTCGCATATGTCAAGGTCTATTTTCCCCCAAGAGCGCCTCCATTTATTTTTATTACATTTATTATTTTACTCTAATGATTATTATTACATTTATTATTTTGCTCTATTATTGTTATTATTACACTTATTATTTCACTCTATTATTATTACATTTATTATTTTACTCTATTATTGTTATTTTTATTATATTTATTATTTTACTCTCTTTATTATTATTGGAAGTATACGAAAGCACATTTACACCGAAGAAGGTTAGAGTAATGGTTTAATCAGAGTTGGACAGCCTTATCCCCAAGCTCCACCAGTTTTATGCAAATATTTTACAAAAAAAATATGTAAAAATTACAGTTTTATGTAAATACTAGCTGTCCCCTGCCATGCGTTGCTGTGGCCCACATGGGGGTTCTGTGTGGGGGGTTTGGCCCAATTCTATCATTGGTGGGCTTCAGAATGCTCTCTGATTGTAGGTGAACTATAAATCCCAGCAACTACAACTCCCAAATGTCAAGGTCTGTTTTCCCCGTGTTCCACCAGTATTCACATCAGGGCATATTGAGTATCCGTGCCATGCTTGGTCCAGACTCATCATTGTTTGAGTCCATAGTGCTGTCTGGATGTAGGTGATTTGCAACTGTAGAACTCAAGGTCAATGCCCACCAAAACCTTCCAGTATTTTCTGTTGGTCATGGGAGTTCTGTGAGCCTTTTTGATTCAATTCCATCCTTGGTGGAGTTCAGAATGCTCTTTGATTGTAGGTGAACTATAAATCCCAGCAACTACAGCTCCCAAATGACAAAATCAATCCCCCCCAAGTCCCACTAGTATTCAAATTTAGACATATAGGGTATTTGTGCCAAATTTGGTCCAGTGAATGAAAATACATCTTGCTTAACAGATATTTACATTACAATTCATAATAGTAGCAAAATGACAGTTGTGAAGTAGCAACGAAAATAACTTTATGGTTGGGGGGCACCACAACATGAGGAACTGTATTAAGGGGTCGTGGCATTAGGAAGGTTGAGAACCACTGCTCTAGATTCATCATGGCTGGGGTTCAGTGTACTAACTGGCTGCAGGGTAAACTACAACTCCCACTATGGTGATTCTCTCCCCTCAAACCCCTCCAGGAGGATGAGTAAGTCACAGGGGTTCTGTGTGCCAAATTTGGTCCAGGTCCACCATTGATGGACGTCACAGTTTCCCTGGTTGTGGGTGAACTACAACTCCCAGAAATGAAGGTTGGTTCCCCCCAAATTCCTCCAGTAATCACATTTCGGCACATGAGGTCGGTGTGCCAAGTTTGATCCAGATCCATTGGTGTTGGTTCACAGAGCTCTCTGGATGTAGTTGAACTACAACTCCCCCAAATCAAGGTGAATTTTCCCCCAAAGACCTCCAGTATTTCTTCCTGGTCATGGGGGCTCTGTGTGTCAAGTTTGGTCCAATTCCCTCTTCGGTAGAGTTTAGAGTGCTCATTGATTGCAGGTGAATTATAGATCCCAGTACCTACAACTAACAAATGTCAAGGCCAATCCCCCCCCCCCCCAACCCACTAGTATTTTGGTATATCAAGTATGCATGTCAAATTTTGTCCAGATCGATTATTGTTTGGGTTCACAGTGTTCTCTGGATGTTGGTGAACTATAATTCCTATAAATCAAGATGATTTTTCACTTTTATTAGGTATATAGATTGTATAGTAGTAATATAAATTAACAATATTATATTTATTTATTTATATTTTTCTTCTTAGTATTTTTAGTATTCTACTAGCCATCCCCTGCCACACGTTGCTGTGGCCCAGTCTGTGTATATGTATTTTGTGTGTGTATATGTGTATATGTATGGTTGCATATCTATCAATCAATCAATCTATCTGTGGATTTGCGCATGCATTGTAATTTAATTTTTGTTTTTCTGGCTTTTTAAGTCACTTCTGCAGTGTTTCTCGGTGTTTTTATGAGTGATGGTCACTCGTTGGTCTGAGAGGTGTATTGTGTCCAAATTTGGGGTCAATTCGTCCAGTGGTTTTTGAGTTATTCTTCTCTTAAGCAAGGCTCAAAGTGGCTTGCAATGCTAAAAACAGTGCAAATTACACTTAGAAACCTACAGCAGTGCCTATCTTTTTATGTTCACTCCCTTTCTCATTATATTTAATACTATTACTATAGGAAGAATACGATTTACTCCTGTCTGTCTAAGAGGAATAGGTTGTTACGGCTTGAGTGTTGGACGGTGACTCCAGAGACTTCGGCCATCTGGAAACCCACTATGTTGCTTTATTAAAGTCTCACTCTCTCAGCCTCTTTTCCAAGCTAACCAATCCCACAGGATCATCATTGCAAGCAGGAACTGGATCCACCTGCTGGATCCACCATTGTAAAATTATCAGCGCTTTGCATCTTGCCTGGCCGGGAAGCTGCTAGGAATGGTTATGGGATCATAACCATCCCGACCAAACCTGTTTTGCCGGTGAGTTAGTTGCCTTCCTTGCGGCCAGAGCTGTTTTGTTCTTTGGCGGAGGCTCATCAGCATACGCCTGCACCCGCATCCTCTGTCTCCGTGAGATTGCCGGTATGCCTTTAACGCTTCCTTTTTCAAAAAGCCAAGCAAGTAGTTCACTATCATAGGGTTTTCAAGGCAAGATTGGTTCAATTGAGGTTTCAATTTGCTTTCCTTAGAAGCTGAGAGAGTGTCACTTTCCCAAGCTCAGTTTCTATTACTAAGCATGGATTTGAACCTTGGCCTCCCAGTGTCCTTTGCTGGCTGTTCTGGGATTGGCTTTGGCAATTCTGAGTCATTATTATTATTATTATTATTATTATTATTCTCTGAACTGTGCTTTGCCACCCACATTGGAAGAAATATATCCTTCTTAATAATAATAATAATAATAATAATAATAATAATAATAATAATAATAATAATAAAACAGCAACCTAGGTCTCCCGGTTTCCTTGCTGGCTCATCCGTAATAAGTCCTGGCAAATTCTGAAGTCTGTTATAAACCAGTAGCTATGCTTTATCACATGCATTTCAAGTACTATGTTCTCATTAATAATAGTAATAATAATAATAATAATAAATCAACATCACCTTGGTTCCCCCGGTTTTTTTGCTGGCTCTTGTGTAATACGTCCTGGCAAATTCTAAAGCCCATTATAAACCAGTAGCTATGCGTTATCACACGCATTTCAAGAACTATGTCCTCATTAATAATAATAATAATAATAATAATAATAATAATAATAATACATCAATATCAACCTTGGTTTTCTTGCTGGCTCTTGAGTATTACGTCTTGGCAAATTCTAAAGTCCATTATAAACCAGTAGCTATGCTTTATCACACGCATTTCAAGAATTATGTCCTCACTAATAATAATAGTAGTAATCACACATTTCAAGAACTACGTCCTCATTAATAATAGTAATAATAATAATAATAATAATAATAATACATCACCATCAACTTTGGTTCCCCCAGTTTTCTTGCTGGGTCTTGTGTAGTGTGTCCTGGCAAATTCTAAAGTCCAGTATGAACCAGTAGCTGTGCTCTACTACCCAATAATAATAATAATAATAATAATAATAATAATAATAATAATAATAATAATAATAACCTTGCTGTCTCAGTTTCTTTGCTGGCTCTTGTGCAATAAGTCCTGGCAAATTCAGAAGTCCAGTATGAACCAGTAGCTGTTTATTACTATTTTGTTATAGTAATTGCTCATAATTACTATATTTGGGGTAACTTCAGGGGCTCCCTTTTTCCTCATTTTTAAAGTTTCAGAAAGAGTCACTCACCTACAGATTTTGGGAGATTTTTTTAAAAAAATTAGACAAAAACCATTCTCCTCCCCCCAAAAAAGTGACAACAGCAATCCCCTTGAATGCACACAACCACATAACTTCAACTTATCACAGATTTATACTATTATTTACTTTAGTTCTCGTTGCAGTTTCAATAATTTTATTTATTATTATGAGAGTATCTCCAAACGGATGGCTACTGCAGCCCTCATTAGGTCTTTCTGTCACCAAGTAGGAACCACCGCTTTATGCCTCTCTCCTTTCCCTTGCAGCTTGTCCGGTGCCATGGCTTCCGAAGGGGACGGTGCGGAGGACATCTCTCCCGACTGGGCTGGGACCAGCATCGTGGACCTGACTTCCCCGGAGCTGGAAAAGGCCAATCCTTCCCTGATGGACAGCGGGGAGGACTTTGAGGTCCTGGACAACGACGAGGATGAGGACATGAGCGGCCTCCCACCTCTGGAGGATGTCCCCACCAAGATGAGCAAGGAAGGAACTGCACCCAATGCCCCTGCGGAGGAGGATGGTGGCCCTGAGGAGGCCCCAGAATGGCTCGACGTATTAGGTTAGGGCTTGATTTGGTTGGATTTGCAGCCGTAAGTGTGAATGTTGCATTGAGAAAGCTTGAATAGCACTGAATAGCCTTGAAGTTGCAAAGTCAATCAGTGAGGGTCTCTGTATTGAGGTAGTGAAGCAAGTGGAGTCTATATATCCCTGTGGAATAATGTCCAGGGTGGGAGAAAGAACCCCTGTCTGTTGAAGCAAGTGTGAATGTTGCAATGAGCAAGCCTGAATTAGCACTGAGTGGTCATGAAGCTGCAAAGTCAATCAGTAAGGATATCCTCATAGAGGTAGCAAGTGGACTGTGTGTGTGTGTATACATACATATATACACTAGATGTACCTGCCACGCGTTGCTGTGGCCAACCTTCCCTCTTTCTTTCTCTCCTTCTTTCTATCTCACCTTCCCTCCCTCCTTCTTTCCTTCCTTCCCTCTTTTTCTTCTTCTTTCTTCCTTCTCTACTTGTTTCTTTCCTCCCTTCCTTTGCTCTTTGGTTCTAGCCTTCCTTCTCTCTTTCCTTCCCTCCCTCCCTCTTTCTCTTTCGTCCCTTCTCTCCTTCCTTCCATCGCTCTTTTCTTCTTTCACTTTTTATTTCCTTCTCTCTTTCCTTCCTTCTCTACCTTTCTTTCTTTCTTTCTTTCTTTCTTTCTTTCTTTCTTTCTTTCTTTCTTTCTCTCCTTCCTTTTTGTGTGTGTATATGTATGCATATATGTGTGTGTATATATATTTGTGTATGTATGTATGTATATATGTGTCTTTGTGTATATGTATGGTTTTGCGCTARGTTGCAATGTATTTTTTTGTTTTTTGCTTTTTAAGTCTCTTTTGCTGTGTTTTTCYATGTTTTTATGAGTGATGGTCACTCGTTGGCCTGATAGGTGTATTATGTCCAAATTTGGTGTCAGTTCGTCCAGTGGTTTTTGAGTTATGTTAATCTCACAAACGAACATTACATTTTTATTTATATAGATATATATATATCTGTGGAATGATGTCCAGGGTAGAAGAAAAAAACCTTYTCTGTTTAAAGCAATTATTTGTGAATGTTGCAATTAGCAAACTTGAATAGCATTGAGTAGCCATGAAGCTGCAAAGTCAATCAGTGAGAGTGTCTCCATAGAGGTAGCTTAGCCTTTGTTGCTTGGAGGCACCCTCTGCTTGGGGGGTGTTCACTGGCAATTTGATTGCTTGTTGTCTGGAGTTCTCCTGTTTGGTGTTTTTTATTTACTGTTTTGATTCTGGTATTTTTTAAATACTGATAACTAGATTTTGTTCATTTTCATGTTGAAATTGTCCATGTGCTTGTGGATTTCAACAGCTTCTCTGTGTAGTCTGACATGATGGTTGTAAGAGCGGTCTGGCATTTCTGTGTCCTCCAATAGTATGCTGTGTCCAGGTTGGCTCATCAGGTGCTCTTCTATGGCTGACTTCTCTGGTTGAATTAGTCTGCAGTGCCTTTCATGTTCCTTGATTTGTGTTTGTGCTGCTGCGTTTGGTGGTCCCTGTGTAGACTTGTCCACAGCTGCATGGTATACGGTAGACTCCTGCAGTAGTTAGAGCATCCCTCTTATCCTTTTTGAATTTTTGTGGTGGATCTGTAGATTGTTTGTATGTTGTGTGTCTTCGTCAGCTTCCCTACGTGGTCATTGGTTTCCTTGATGCATGGTAAGAACACTTTTCCTCTAGGTGGATCTTTGCTGATGGCTCTTACTGATTGACTTTGCAGCTTCATGGCTACTCAATGTTATTCAAGTTTGCTAATTGCATCATTCACACTTGCTTCAAACAGATAAAGGTTCTTTCTCCCACTCTGGACATTATTCCACAGGGATATATACACTTCACTTGCCTCACTGCCAACAGAACTTCTGAAGATGCCAGCCACAGATGCAGGAGAAATGTCAGGAGAGAATGCTGCTGGAACATGACTGAAAAAATTCACAGCAACCCAGTAATTCTGGCCATGAAAGCCTTCAACAATACGTGTCCCACAATCTCTGTCTCTTCCCTCCTCAACTTGAAATAGAATCAAACGTCCAAATCAATTAAAATACAACGCTGAAAAATAGTCCAATACCGGTTTTCTCTTTGCATAATATTTGCCTTCTGTTTTTTCACCTGTTCCAGGAAGCGGCTTGTTAAAGAAGAAGGTTCTTGTTGCGGGCCGTGGCCGGGAAAGCAAGCCGGTCAAAGGCCAGGAGGTGACTGTGCGGCTCAAGGCCTCCTTGGAGGATGGGACGGAGGTGGAAGAAGAACCCCAGCTCACCTTCACGCTGGGAGACTGTGATGTCATGCAGGTGAGAATGGGCATCCCAGGAAATAGGAGTCAAAAGTGGCCAGTTCTGAATCGGACTTTGGTTAGTCAGTTGTCTGGGATTCTTTCCTTCCTGGACAAGAGGTATCCCCTTGGATTTCTGCACAATGAGACAACATAAGCAGGGCATCAATCCTGCAAAGTTTCAGAAAGATTTGTTTACTGATTTTTAGGAATTTAAAAACTGTTTAAACACACATCTTTATCTCCTACTAATACCATAAAGAAACAAACACTGAGGGGAGGGGACCAGCTTTGCAGAAACTTTCCTTGTCAGCCAATCACACAGCTGCGTAATTGGCTGACAAGGAAAAAATGAAACAGCATGTAGCTGCTGTTGTCAGTCACATTGGCCTCCTTTCCTCATCCCACTCCAGACAATTATGGAGTATGTTACATTGAACAAAAATAAAACGCAGCTCTCTCAGAAACAACAAATCTTTACTAGTCTCCCTGAAACATTTTGGAGGCTTCCGCTTTGTTCTGTAATGTTCGAATTAGTAATTTGGAGCTTTGTGTCCTGCTCTTTCCCTCTCTTCCTCACAGGCCCTCGATCTGTGCGTGCAACTGATGGAGATGGGAGAGACGGCTCTTATTCTTTCAGACGCCAAATACTGCTATGGCCCTCAGGGGAGGTATGATCCATAGAAAGCGACCTGGCATCTAAAAGGCCAATAGCGGAATTTCCTGTTTGGGAGGAAAAGTTCAGAAGGGGCCCTGTAGTTGGGAGGAAAGCTTAACCAGGCTTTAGCACAGCAGGTTAACTGCCAGCTCCAGTAAATCTTACCAACCAGAAGGTTGACAGTTCGAAACCTGGGCCCAGGTGAGCTCCTGGCTTTTAGCCCAGCTTCTGCTTAGCTAGTAGTTCAAAAACAAACATAAGTAGATAAATAGGTACCGCTTTAAAGCAGGGAGGTATTTAAGGCACCCATAAGGAAATGCCAGAAAAATGCCGGTGATTCAGTCAAGGAGGAAATTTACAAACAAAGCTGTTTTGCAGAGAAAATGGAGCGACAGAAACCTTCGTGGCCGGAACCAAGCACAACCTCCAAGATGCCGAAGATGGGAAAACCTATATATACCTCTATCTATCAACAGTTGTCTGTCTTGTCAGTGTATAACAGCATTGAATATTTGTCATATCAATGTTCTGTGATCCCTGAGAAGGGCAGAATATAGATACTATATAATAATAATAATAACCAGGAGTAATCCAACAAGAACATTGTGCCCTAGCATTTCTCCATCTCCCTGAACAGGAGCCCCATTGTGCCCCCTGATGCAAACCTGGCCCTCGAAGTGGAGCTTCTGGAAGCCCGGGACGCCCCTGATTTGGAGCTCCTGAGTGGGATGGAGAAGGCAGAGAGGGCCAACCAGAAGCGGGAACGGGGCAACGTCCACTACCAGCGGGCTGACTACGTCTTGGCCATCAACTCCTATGACATCGCCCTTAAAATCGTGGGCTCCAGTTCAAAAGGTGATCGCATGCAGGCCTTCATTCCGATTTCGTTTGCATCAAGAGGACTAGCAGCTTAGTTCTCGTACCAAAGCTTTTCTAGGGTGTGACATTCCAAGATGGCACAGTCCAAATAAATAGTAGGGTTTGAGCATTGGAACAGGATAATGGAAAAGCAGGCTTCGAATCCCCGCTGGGCCTTTGAAAATAAGGAGACCTAATTATATACACACTAAATATACACACACTAAATATACACACACTAAATATACACACACTAAATATACATATATACATATATACATATACATATAAAATATATATACATATGTGTGTGTGTGCACGCACACACACACTAAATATACATTCATGGACTCTACTTTGTGTCCCCATTTCTTAAGGTTGACTCTGCATCTTGTGGTGCCAGAGTGCAGCCTGTTCAGTGCCTTCCAAGTCACACAGTCTTCCTTTGTGCTCAGGAGGGAGTTTCTCATCTGGTCTCAGCCACTGATTGAAGTTCCGGGTTTTAGCCTGCCGCTTTTGGACTCTTACTTGCTGAAGTGTTCCTTCGAGTATCTCTGTAGATTTCAGGAAGCTGTTTTTTGATTTAAGAAGTTGGCATATTGGCTTATATCTGAACAGGGGATGGGGTGGAGATGTCATTGCCTTGGTTCTTTCATTACTGACTGCTGCTTTCTGACGGATGTCAAGTGGTGCGATACCAGCTAAACAGTATAATTTCTCCAGTGGTATTGGGTGTAGGCATCCTGTGATAATGTGGAATGTCTCATTAAGAGCCACTGTTTTAATATGGTGAGATGTATTCCACACTGGGCGTGCATATTCAGCAGCAGAGTAGCAAAGCACATGGGCAGATGTCTTCTCTGTGTCTGGTTGTGATCCCTAGGTTGTGCCAGTCCGCTTTCATATGACATTATTTCTAGCACCTACTTTTTGCTTGATATTCAAGCAGTTCTTCCTGTAAGTCAGAGCACAGTCCAGAGTGACTCCAAGGTATGTTGGTGTGGTGCAATGCTCCAGTGGGATTCCTTCCCAGGTAATCCTCAGAGCTCGAGATGCTTGTCTGTTCTTAAGATGAAAAGCACACATCTGCATTTTAGATAGAGTAGGGATCAACTGGTTTTTCCCTGTAATAGGCAGTAAGAGCACCTAAATCTTTGGAGAGCTTCTGTTTAACCATTTCAAAGCTCCCTGCTTGAGCAGTGATGGCACGATCATCAGCATAGATGAATCTCTCTGTCCCTTCTGGCAGTGACTGGTCATTTGTGTCAATGTTGAACATTGATGGAGCAAGCATGCTCCTCTGAGGCAGGCCGTTCTTCTGTCTTCACCATCTGCTTCTCTGGGCCTGGAACTCAACCAAAAAGCTCATGTTTTGTAGCAGATTTCCTAAGAAGTGGGTGAGGTGATAGTCCTTTGTGATATTAAACATTTTTTTCTGGAGGAGGTGATGATTTTCTGTGTCATAAGCTGCTGGCAGGTCTATGAAGACAGCTCCTGTAATCTGCTGTCTTCAAACCATCATCTATGTGCTGAGGATAATGATGATGATAGCAAGGCAATACAGTATAGTAATATATACTGTATTGACTTTGCAAGCTGGAAGGGAAAGTCTACCAGAGATCGTATATCCTTTTTGGACTATCATCATCAGCCTGATGGGAGTTGTAGCCCTTTTGAGGCTAAACTTTACTCCTCTTCCTTTCCTGCAGTGGATTTCAGCCCAGAGGAAGAGTCGGCGCTGATGGAGGTGAAGGTGAAATGCCTGAACAATTTAGCCGCATCTCAGCTGAAACTGGATCACTACGAGGCAGCCTTGCGGTCCTGCAACCAGGTCCTGGAGCAGCAGCCAGACAACATCAAGGCCCTTTTCCGGAAGGGAAAGGTACGGGATAATAATAATAATAATAATAATAATAATAATAATAATATCTTTTTATAACCCACTTTTCTCCCTCACAGGACCCAAAGAGGCTTACAACATGTTAAAATTGTGTATTTCGATTGTTGTTTGTATGATTTTAACATGTTGTAAGCCTCTTTGGGTCCCGTGAGGGAGAAAAGTGGGTTATAAAAAAAGATATTGTTTTATAGTCCTAGACGCTTCGGAAGTGTTCGACTTGTGATTTTGTGATACAAAATCCAGCATATATATCTCGTTTGCTGTGACATGCTGTGTTTTTGTGTAAGTAAAATAATAATAGCTTTTTTTATAACTCACTTTTCTCCCTCACACGGAATATAAATGTCGTAAATAAATAAATAAATGAAGGTGCTGTAACAGAGGAGTTGTACGCTCACTGGGTCCAGCAGCTGTCAGTAGCCTGGCTGCAGATCTTTGGACCAATTGAAGTTTCTGGGCACTCTTCAGGGGCAGCCCCACATACACCATGTTACGGTAGTCTAAATGGGGTGTAACCAAGGCGTGGATCAACATGCCGGAGTCTGGCTTCACAAGGTATGGGCACATCTGGTGCACAAGTTTTAATTGTGCAATGCCCTCCTGGCCACCGCCAACATCTGGGGTTCCAGGATCAGCGACCTGTGATTTCAGGGGTTACGAATCAGTTTTTGGTCAACTTTAGATTCGGTTTGGTTATTTGGAGTTTTGATTCAGAAAAGTACATTGGATAGACCACATCGGCTCTAGTTTCTGATATAGAACACTATCTGTACCCGCCACGCGTTGCTGTGGCCAATCTTCCCTCCCTCTTTCTCTCCTCCTTTCTTTCTCTTCCCCCTTCCCTCTTTCTTTCCTTTCTTTCTTTCTTTCTTTCTTTCTTTCTCTCCTTCCTTCCTTCCTTCCTTCCTTCCTTCCTTCCTTCCTTCCTTCCTTCCTTCCTTCCTTCCTTCTCTTCCTCTTCCTCTTCCTCTTCCTCTTCCTCTTCCTCTTCCCTTCCTTCCCCACTTTTCTTTCCCTTCCACTTTCTCCCCGTGCTTCTTTCTCTACCTATCTTGGCACAGAGCAAACCTTCATCATTTCTATAGTTCTGACTCTATCTATCTATCTATCTATCTATCTATCTATCTATCTATCATCTATCTATCTATCTATCTATCTATCTTATCTATCTATCTATCTATCTATCTATCTATCTATCTATCTATCTATCTATCTATTTATCTTATCTATTTGGAGGATTGCTGGGGGTTGCAGTCAGGGAATAGGAAATTGGAAATATGCAGGGACTGGGATGCTGTCAAAGAAATCCAAGGAGAAGAAAGCTTGCAGCTTGGAAGCAGTGCATTTGGATGAACCTCCTCTCCTGAAGGGCCTGGTCTAGGGGATGCTGGGAGCTGTAGTCCGGAAGAGAGTGTGGATATGCTATTGTGTGTTTTGTTTGCCAGGGGGAGTCGTTTTGTGCATGCGCTGTAGCATCTTTTTGTTTTTTGGCTTTTTAAGTCCCTTCCGCTTTGTTTTTCAGTGTTTTTATGAGCGATGGTCACTCGTTGGCCTGATAGGTGTATTGTTTCCAAATTTCATGTCAATTCGTCCAGTGGTTTTTGAGTTATGTTAATCCCACAAACAAATATTACATTTTTATTTATATAGACTAGCCGTTCCCTGCCACGCGTTGCTGTGGCCCAGTCTGGTGATCTGGAAAATAATGAGAAAGTGGTGGTTTTGAATATATGTAATTTCTTTATGCTTGTGGGTAAACAGTATTACTTGCTGTGTCTTTGTCAGTGTTGATGTGGAAATTGTCTGGTTTGTCTACTCTGGGACATGCAACATGTTATTGTCCTTCTTTAGGGGTCCCTTTCAAATCTATGATACTATATCTGTGTGTGTGTGAATCATATATATCTATCTATGTCTATGGTTGGGTGGCTTTTGTCAGGAGGACTTTGATTATGTTTTCTTGCCCTGGTGAAGAGAGTTGGACTGGATGGCCTTAAGTATTCTCTGTTGGTCATGGGGGTTTATTGTGGGAAGTTTGCCCCAATTCTGTCGTTGGTGGGATTTAGAATGCTCTTTGATTCTAGGTGAACTATAAATCTCAGTAACTACAACTCCCAAATGTCAAGGTCTGTTTCCCCCAAACTCCCATCTGTGTGCATATTTGGGCATATGGAATATTCATGCCAAGTTTGGTCCAGATCTATCTTTTTTTTAGTCCGCAGTGCTCTCTGGATGTAGGTGAACTACAGCTCCCTAACTCAATACCCACCATTGGTGGAGTTCAGGGTGCTCTTTGATTGCAAGTTAACTATAAATCCCAGCAACTATAACTCCTAAATGATAAAATCAATTTTTTGAGTGATGGTCACTCCTTGGGTTAGTAGGTGTCTTGTGGCCAAATTTGGCGGCAATTCGTCCAGTGGTTTTTGAGTTACATTAATCCCACAAACGTACATTACATTTTTATTTATATAGATATGCCATCCAGTAGTCACAATTTGCTCGTCCACAGAAAAACATGTTTAATAATCTAAAGCTGATGTGGTAGTAGGAATCTTTTGTGGGTATTCAGCCTCTCCACTCTCAACATCCCCATTGCCTCAGCACTAGAAGAGGGTTTTGCAAGACCAGTCACTCTTGTTGCAACAGTGTAGTAATGGTGAGGCCGCGGACCATATTTAAGTTCTTGTGGACCACTGGTGGTCCATGGGCCACAGGATGGGAACCACCGATTCTCTAGGAATCTCTGGAGTTGCGAAGCCACCACACGCTCCAGGACCTTGCCCAAGAAGGAGAAGTTGAAGACTGATCAGTAATTACAATATTTTCAGCCAGATCTAAAGATGGTTTCTTTAGCAGTGGTCTAACTACTGTTGTTTGTAGGCTGGTTAGAAATTTGCCTTGAGTGAGGGAAGCATTGGCTACTCTCACCACTCAGTCTACCAGACCTCCTCTGGCTTGTTTGATTAACCAGGAGGAGCAAGAATACATGTGTTGGGTCTCGCTTCTCCAAGGAATCCTGTCTACATCCTCGGACTGCACTCATTGAAATGAATCCATTAAAACTTGACAAACAGGTGCCTGTGTTACATCCACAGAGACTGTATCAATAGAGGCATCTAGGTCAGAACAAATCTGAGCAACTTTATCTGCAAAGAACCTTTCAAATAGGGTCGAAGCATCCATAGAAGTAATGTGGATGATCAGGCATTTGCATATAAGTCATGAAATGTCTTAGAGGTGGCTTTTTTATTTATTTGTCCAGGTGCTGGCTCAGCAAGGCGAATACAGCGAAGCCATCCCCATCTTGAAAGCGGCGCTGAAGCTAGAGCCTTCTAACAAGGTGAGTCTGGCAGCGGTGCACAATCTGAGCCCTACAAACAGACGACCATCCAGCCAGAGACTCAGTCAGCATAGTCCACCATCAAATGGGTCGTTACGATTAGGAAGCTGTTCCCCAGATTGAGGCGGATCAGAGCTCAAGCAGAAATAGAGTTAGAGGAAATAGTAATAGTAATTACTATTATTATTATTATTATTATTATTATTATTATTATTATTATTTTATTCCAAACCTCTCCTTATGGCTTGAGGTGGGGTACAACTGGGTTAAAACAGAGAAATAAACACTATTAAAATGCATGTAACAACTGACACACCAGTAAAATGCATGTTAAAATAATGCAGAATTATTATTATTATTATTATTATTATTATTATTATTATTATTATTATTAATGTTACCACCCTCCTTGTGACACAAGGTGGGATACAACATGGTTAAAACAATGAGATAAAATGCTATTAAAATACATATAACAAGAAACACAGAGTTAAAATGCAGGCTAAAATTCACTGATAAAATTCAGATAATAATAATAATAATAATAATAATAATAATAATAATAATAATAATAATAATTTATTCTAAACCTATTCTAAACCTCCCAGCTCAAGGTGAATAATGCAGATTTATTGTTATTACCAGCTTGGGTACCCGATGTTGCCCGAGTTATTTGAAAAAGTCAGTTGTTTAATTGTACAAAATGCATAAGGTTGTGGGTGAACTATAACATCATTCCAGGTTAACCCCCTGATACTCCATCAGTTTGTTATGTTGGGCAAGTTTACTCTAGATCAGTGGTTCTCAACCTGGGGTCCCCAGGTGTTTTTGGCCTTCAACTCCCAGAAATCCTAACAGCTGGTGAACTGGCTGGGATTTCTGGGAGTTGTAGGCCAACAACATCTGGGGACCCCAGGTTGAAAACCACTGCTCTAGATGCATCATCGGTGGGGTTCAGTGTGCTCTCTGGCTGTAGGGTAAACTACAACTCCCATTATGGTGAGTCAGTCCCCTCAGTAGGTTGAGTTAGTCGTGGGGGTTCTGTCTGCCAAGTTTGGTCCAGGTTCATGATTGGTGGAGATCACTGTTTCTCTGGTTGTGGGTGAACTACAACTCCCAGAAAGGAAGGTCAGTTCCCCCTAATCTCCACACCCCAGTAATCACATTTAGGCATATCAGGTCTGTGTGCCAAGTTTGGTCGAGATCCATCTATGTTTGGGCTCATTGTGCTCTCTGGATGTAGGTGAACTACAACTCCCTCAAATCAAGGTGAATTTCCCTCCAAAGACCTCCAATATTTTTTGCTAGTCATAGGGGCTCTGTGTGCCAAGTGTGGTCCAGTTCCACCTTTGGTGGAGTTCAGAGTACTCTTAGATTGCAGGTGAACTATACATCCCAGTAACTACAAATCCTACAAATCAGGGTGAATTCTCCCCAAAGCTCTCTAGTATGTTCAGTTGGTGATGAATTCCTCTGTTTGCTGTGTGTCATAGAAAAGAAAAGGCAAGGGTTAAGGGAGGAGTGTGTGGGGTCGTGCAAATTCCACACCAATGGAGAGAGTCAGAAACACTGGGATGTGGTGGAGGAAACACATAAAATCTAGGATGAAATGGTCCCTGTATGAAGGCCTTCACGTGTGGTGGGCAGCGTGTTGTTTGTTTAATATATGAAAAATAATGGAGGTTATCAATCGATTTACCTCCCTTCTCTTGTCTCCTTTTAGACCATCCACACGGAGCTCTCAAAGCTGGCCAAGAAGCACGCCGACCAAAAGAGTGTGGAGACGGAGATGTACCGCAAGATGCTGGGCAACACGGGGCCCGGCAATCTCCCTGCAAAATGCAAAGACAAGTCGCCATGGGTAGGTCATGGGTCCAGACAAATTTGGGGAAAACAATTCCTGTTTCTGGTTTGAAAGTGTTCATTCCTGTTTAATTGTACGGTCCTTACTTTGAAAGTTGTTGTTCTACTCCAGAAACTTCGTTTGTGTGAATTGGATGAGATATTCAGTGCAAACCTATAGCAAATTGTGCTATAGCAGGAGTCCTTCCCGCAAAAACAAAGTTTTTGCTGCTTAATAAACTTTTCTCCTGACCTTTGGCCTGCATCTGTGGCAGGCATATTCAGAGGACTGTTTGGAAGAGAGGCAAGTGGAGTGTATATATATCCCTGTGGAATAATGTCCAGAGTGGGAGAAAGAACTCTTGTATGTTGAAGCTATTCTGAATGTTGCAATTAGCAAACTTGAATAACATTGAATTTGCAAAGTCAATCAGTGAGGGTATCTGTATAGAGGTAGTGAAGCAAGCGGAGCATGTGTGGATATGTCTATATCTATATCTATATATGGAATGATGTCCTGGGTGGGAGAAAGAACCCTTGTCTGTTGGAAGCAAGTGTGAATGTTGCAGTAGTGAAGCAGGTGGAGTGTGTTTGTGTGTGTGTGTGTATGTATCTGTGGAATAATGCTCAGAATGGGAGAAAGAACCCTTTCTGTTTAAAGCAAGTGTGGTTGTTGCAATTAGCAAGCTTGAATAGCATTGAAGTTGCAAAGTCAATCAGTGAGGGTCTTTGCATAGAGGTAGCTTAGCCTCTGTTGCCTGGGAGTTGTCTGTCATCTATTTGGGAGTTGTTAACTGGCACTTGATCATTTCCTGTCTGGGGTTCCCCTCTTTTTGAGTGGTGGTCCTTATTTACTGTCTTGATTCTGGTGTTTTGTTTTGTTTTTTTTAATACTGGTAACCAGAATTAAGACAGTAAATAAAGAACACCATTCAGAAACAGGGGAATTCCAGACAGCAAACAATCAAGTGCCAGTTAACCCCTCCCAAATAGAGGATGCCTCCAGGCAACAACAGCCAGATACCCTCACTTATTGACTTTGCAGCTGCAAGGCTACTCAATGCTAATCAAGCTTGCTAATTACAACATCCACACTTGCTTTAGACAGCCGAGGGTTCTTTCTCCCACCCTGGACAGTATTACACTCTACTTGTTTCACTACCTCGATGCAGAGACCCTCACTGATTGACTTCGCAAACTTCATGGCTGCTCAGTGCTATTCAACTAGTTAATTGCAACATTCACACTTGCTTCAAACTGACAAGGGTTCTTTCTCCCACCCTGGACATTGTTCCACAGATATAGATGTAGATGTAGATATAGATATGTACACACACACTCCATTTGCCTCACTACCTCTATGCAGAGACCTCACTGATTGACTTTGCAGCATCAAGGCTACTCAGTGCTAAACAAGCTCGCTCATTGCAATATTCACACTTGCATCAAACAGACAAAGATTCTTATTTCACAGGAATATATACACACATATATATATGCACTCCACTTGCTTCACTGCCAACAGAACCTCTGAAGATGCCATTAGCCACAGATGCAGGTGAAACTTCAGGAGAGAATGCGACTGGAACGTGGCCTTCCAGCCTGGAAAACTCATAGCAACCCAGGATATTGTATGATTGCAATGGGATGTGATGAGATGTGACGGACCTGCATGCAGCCATATAAGTCGGTGGATTGATGCTTTTATCCCCTTGTCTTTCCAGTCGATCCCGTGGAAGTGGCTCTTCGGAGCCACCGCTGTGGCCCTGGGTGGAGTAGCCCTATCTGTCGTCATCGCCGCCAGGAACTAGGAGACAGGGTGTCCCTCCTTCCTCTTGCTCCCCCGCCGCCTCACTTCCCACCCCTTCTGCTTGGTTTGGGACAACCGGTACACAACTTTGGACTGCAGGGCGGGATTTAGGGGTGGGAGCATAAGGGGCGGGTCTTAGCTTTTACCGACCTTTGGCTCCACCCACCTGCCCATCCTATGTTGAAATGGGACCCATGTGCCGGAAAGGAGGACTTCTCGCTGCCCGCAGACCCAGAAATGTGGCATCCTCTGGACGTTTCACACCTATTTCTCTTACTTTTCCGCTTTCCCTCCTTACAACTGTATGGGATTTTTCTATCTAATGGAAAGGCCAGGAAGAAACAATGATATGGGAGCCAAAGCATGGAATCTAATACCGAAATATAGTCCCGCTTTGGCACCAAGTCTCGACCGTAGAGACTCTAAACCCCATAGAAGTTAACCTGGGAATTGGGGGATCTTCCACCAAGGAAGTGGCATTTCCTTTTCTGTCTTTACTTTCAAGACTTTTCTTAAAAAAAACCCGAAATAAGGGGTCGAAGACTTGAAGCACTGCTTTGAACCCTTTCCTTTCCCCTTCATTGCCCACCCCAGCCCATATGGAGCCTTCCCCCAGCTCCGTAGGTCTTGGTTCTTTTATTTGCTCCCATTCAAAAGATTATATTTTGCGACAAACATTGGCAACTCCTTTCCCCGTGTTCAAACAAACTATTGGAATAAAGCAACGTCCTCCTAGCAGCGTGGCCTCGTTTGTGGCGGCCGCAGAACAGACAGAGAAGGCAGGTAAGATTCGGAAGCGATGCTGCCTCGATTCCGAAATCTCACACAATAGCAATTGTGAATTTGGGGTATTTCTTTCCACTACTGTTCAGCCTCTCTTCTCAATACATGCGACTCACCCTATGTCTAGCTGTTCATAATAAAATGCATAGGTTAGGGAAGACGTACACCAGCGTTTCTCAACCTTCCTAAGTTCTCAACCCCTTACTATAGTTCCTCATGTTGTGATGACCCGCAAAAATAAAATTACCATATATACTCAAGTATAAGCCGACCCGAATATAAACCGAGACACCTAATTTTACCACAAGGAACTGGGAAAACGTATTGACTCAAGTATAAGCCGAGAGTGGGAAATGCAGCAGATACTGGTAAATTTCAAAATAGAAATAGATATCAATACAGTTATATGAATTGAGGCATCAGGAAGTTAAATGTTTTTGAATCTATATAAATAAAAATGTAATGTTTGTTTGTGGTATTCACAGAACTCAAAAACCGCTGGATGAATTGACACCAAATTTGGACACAAGACACCTAACAACCCAATATATGTCCTTCACTCAAAAAATTGATTTAGTCATTTGGGAGTTGTAGTTGCTGGGATTTATAGTTCACCCACAATCAAAGAGCATTCTGAACCCCACCAACAATGGAATTGAACCAAACTTGACACACAGTTCTCCCATAACCAAGAGAAAATACTGGAAGGGTTTGGTGGGCATTGACCTTGACTTTGGGAGTTGTAGTTCACCTACATCCAGAGATCATTGTGGACCCAAACAATGATTGATCTGGACCAAACTCTACATGAATACTCAATATGCCCCAATGTGAACACTGGTGGAGTTTGGGGAAACCAGAATCTTGACATTTGGGAGTTGTAGTTGCTGGGATTTATAGTTCACCTTCAATCAGAGAGCATTCTGAAGCCCACCAATGATAGAATTGGGCCAAACCCCCCCACAGAACCCCCATGTGGGCCACAGCAACGCGTGGCAGGGGACAGCTAGTATTTACATAAAACTGTAATTTTTACATAATTTTTTTGTAAAATATTTACATAAAACTGGTGGAGCTTGGGGATAAGGCTGTCCAACTCTGATTAAACCATTACTCTAACCTCCTTCAGTGTAAATGTGCTTACGTATACTTCCAATAATAATAGAGTAAAATAATAAATGTAATAAAAATAATAATACAGTAAAATAATAAATGTAATAATAATAGAGTGAAATAATAAGTGTAATAATAACAATAATAGAGCAAAATAATAAATGTGATAATCATTGGAGTAAAATAATAAATGTAATAATAATAAATGGAGTAAATAATAAACGTAATTAAAACAATAATAAACAAAGTAAAAATAAATGTAACAATAACAATAAATAGAGAAAAATAAATGTGATAATAATATTAATAGAGTAAAATAATGAATAATAAAAATAATACTAATGACTGAGTCGAATAATAAACCTTGACTCCAGTATAAGCGGAGGACACCTTTTTGAGCCTAAAAAAGAGGCTGAAAAACTAGGCTTATACTTGAGTATATACAGTATTTTTGTTGCTACTTCATAACTGTAATTTTGCTACTGTTATGAATCGTCATGTAAATATGCAGGATGTATTTTCTTTCACTGGACCAAACTTGGCGTAAATACCCGATACACCCAAATGTGAATACTTATAGAGTTTGGGGGGAGGGGGGTTGTCATTGTAGTTGCTGGGATTTGTAGTTCACCTGCAATCAATGAGCACTCTGAACTCCAACAAAGAGGGAATCAGACCAAACTTGGCACACAGAGCCCCCATGATGAGAAAAAAATACTGGAGGTCTTTGAGGGAAATTCACCTTGATTTGGGGGAGTTGTAGTTCACTACATCCAGAGAGCACTGTGAACCCAAACACCGATGGATCTGGACCAAACTTGGCATAAATACTTAATATGCCCAAATGTGAACACTGGCAGAGCTTGGGGAAAATAGACGTTGACATCTGAGAGTTGTAGTTGCTGGGATTTATAGTTCACCCACAATCAAAGAGCATCCCGAACTTCATCTCGATAGAATTGGGCCAAACTTCCCACACAGAACCCCCATGCCTTGAAGGGATTCGCTGGTGCAAACCTCCCTCCAGCCTCGCAGGCTCTCCTTCGCCTGCACATGTGCATTATGCTGCCATGCGCCGAGCATGCCTGCTCTCCCTTCCTCGCTTGAAGTCTCAGAACCAGTCCTTCCCTTGGTTGAGACGCTGGCCAATCACAGCAGAGGAGGGCTTTGGATGGGAGGATTACCTGTCTGTTTCCAAAAGGGAATAGAAGGACAGGTGGCGAGATCTTCAGATCTTAAGAAATATGTGTTTTCTGATGGTCTTTGGTGATGCCTCTGAAACTCCCATGTGGCCCCTGATCGCCAGGTTGAGAAACACTGACGTACACCATTCTGTCTCCTGCAACATTGCTTGAGAGCCCCTCAGTATATACGGTATAATAATACATTGAAATAATAACATGCTAATAATGTACTGCATATACATATAATAATAAAATGTAATACAATATAATACTGATAATACAGTATGAAATATTGTAATATAATAATAATATATTAAATATAATACTGTATATAATATATACCATATAATATATAGAAATAATAACATTGTAATGTAATACTAATATATAATAATAATGTTATAACATATATTGTATGCACTACAACTTATGATATAATACAATATATAATACTAATAGTATAATATACTGGTAGTGTATTATATATATTGTGGTGCGAAAATATAGTACCATAACATACTATAAAATAATAAAATAATTGTATATTATATATTACATGTAATATTACGAATAATATTGCAGTATAGTGGAGTTGGACCAAATTTGGCACACAGAGCCTCTATGACCATCAAAAAATACTGGAGGTCTTTGGGGAAATTCACCTTGATTTGGGGGAATTGTAGTTCACTTGTATCCAGAGAGCCCTGTGAACCCAAACACCGATGGATCTGGACCACACTCGGCACACATACCTGATATGCCGTAATTTAATTACTGGAGGGGTTTGGGGGAACTGATTTTCCTTTCTGAGAGTTGTAGTTCACCCACAACCAGGTAAACTGTGACCACCGATGATGGACCTGGACCAAACACAGAACGCCTGTGACTAACTCAACCTACTGGAGTGGTTTGAGGGGACTCACTCACCATGGTGGGAGTTGTAGTTTACCCTACAGCCAGAGAGCACACTGAACCCCAACTATGAGGCAACTAGAGCAAACTTGCCCATCATAACAAACTAAGTACTGATGGAGGCTCTTGGTGTTAATCTGGCATGATGTGGGCTGTAGTTCACCCAAAGCCGTATGCATTTTGTACAGTTAAAAATTGACTTTTCCAAATACCCAAGCAATGCCGGATGCCCAATCTAGTAATAATATATAATACTAATATTGTGCTATGCTAATAATATAATATATTGCATATATTATTATTAATAATATAATGTAATACAATTTAATACTAATAATAATACAATATAATATGTAATAATATTATAATATAGTACTACTAATATATTAAATATTACTACTGAGCATATATAATAATATGATATACTGTTTTATTATTGAATCTTTGTATATTTGAAGTTGTAATGTTTTTGATTGTGAGTCGCTTTCAGTCTCCATATGGAGAGATAAAGTGGAATATTAATTAATTAAAAATTACAGTTATATCACACAAGGCAAATTTAAAATAGGCCAACCATATAATACTTATAATCTTAGAGTGAGAAGAGGCTCCACTACCATTCTGCTTTACAGGCAAACACAACCCAACCCTTCCCAAAAGATGGCCATCCCTAGCTTAGGATGCAATGTTTCTGATAGAATAACATACAACACATCTGCTTTCCATTATACCCTTTGAATGTGATTAGGCTTCCCCTCCCATCTTCCTCAGACATCGAATGATGGGAGTTGCCATCAAAAGAGCAGAAGACATAGCAAAACAACAACCATGTGAAATCAATATATAGAAAGTTTTATTGCATGCAAGGAACAAAATAAAAAAGGGATTCAGGAAAGTGAGTGAGATATTCTTTCAATGCATGATAGGTTCCATGTTTACATATTGCAAAGGAGGAGGGTCCACTTTGCAGACCAGGAATACAATGGTTCAAATGGCAGAAAAAGAGATTCCACCTAAACAGTAGGAAGAAAGTTCCTGAAGGTCAAAGTGGTGGAATATATGTGATGGGAGTCTCCTCAGGAGGTTTTGAAGCACAGGCTGCATGGCCATCTGTTGGGAGGGATCAGATGGTGTCTTCCCACAGAGTTGGACTGGATAGTCTTTGGGTGCCCCTTCCAACTTCTCTGGTGGTTTTGAAGCAGAAGCTGCATGGCCATCTGTTGGGAGGGATTGGATGGTGTCTTCCCACATTGTTGGACTAGATAGCCTTTGGGTGTCCCTCTGAACTCTGGGATCTGCCATCTGGCAGAGTCGTCTTCTCGGGAGGTTTTAAAGCAGAGGCTGGATGGCCATCTATCGGGAGGGATCGGATGGTGTCTTTTCACAAGGTTGGACTGGATAGTCTTTGGGTGCTCCTTCCAACCTGGGTAGAGTTTCCTTCTCTTGTGGTTTTGAAGCAGAGACTAGATGGCCATCTGTTGGGAGGAATCAGATGGTGTCTTCCACAGAGTGGGACTGGATAGCCTTTGGGTGCCCCTTCCAACCCTGGTAGAGCCTCCTCCGCTGCTGGTTGTGAAGCAGAGACTAGATGGACATCTATCAGGAGGGATCGGATAGTGTCTTCCACAGAGTGGGACTGGATAGCCTTTGGGTGCCCCTTCCAACCCTGGTAGAGCCTCCTCCGCTGCTGGTTGTGAAGCAGAGACTAGATGGACATCTATCGGGAGGGATCGGATAGTGTCTTCCACAGGGTGGAACTGGATAGCCTTTGGGTGCCCCTTCCAACCTTGGTAGAGCCTCCTTTTCTTGTGGTTTTGAAGCAGAGGCTGGATGACCATGTCAGGAGAGATCAGAAGGTGTCTTCCCACTGATTTGGACTGGATAGCCTTTGGGTGCCCCTTCCAACTCTGGTAGAGTCTCCTTTTCTGAAGGTTTTGAAGCAGGGGCTAGATGACCACCTGTTGGGAGGGCTTGGGTTGGGTTTTCATGGATGAATGATGCCCAAATTTCCCCAGAAGGTTTTGAGAGCAGCACCTATGGCATCAAGGCTCTTTAGGCTTCTCCCCTGGTTCTTTCTCCCCATCGCTGCTGTGTTGATTCTTGTCCGGCTTGATGTCAATGGGGATGGTCTTCTCTGTTGGAGTCAAGCGGGGCGCCTCTACAGAGAGCCTCCCGTCCGAGGCCAGTGAACATGCCACAGCCTGGAGGTCCACGTCCGGCGGAAGGAGGGTCTCCCGTCGCAGCTCTTGCCTCTCCCGCCAATAGGTTCCCTCCTCACCTCCGCTCTCCTTTTCCCGCACAGCCGTCACCGTCAACTTCCTTCCGTCCAGCTTGACCGTCACTTCCTCCGGCGAGAAACCGGACGCATCCACAGCGAAGCGGTATGTCCCTGTGTCGTTGGCCGGAGCGACGCCATCTTCCTTGGCCTTTCCGTGTTCCCAGGCCTGAAAGAAGGCATTGCTCATCTTCTCCATCTCTTGGACTTGCCTCTCCATGTTTTGGGCCACTCGGTCGAAGAGGTTGTTGCTCGGCGGGCACTAGGCATGTGCAAATAAATCGGAAAGCATCATAAAATTAGTTAAATTTGTTAAATTCGTGCATACAAATCAATATTACAAACATATAAAGCATTCCATTAATAATACTATAATAATAATAAATTTATTGTTATTATAAATAATAACAAAATAATTAATACTAATAATATAAAATATTAAACAAATAATTAGTAATAATGTAAAATATTCAATTGATAGTATAATAATCTTATGAATTGAATAATATACTAATAATAATATACAATATTCAAATACGATAATTAATAATATAAATAAAATAATTCTGAATCTAATAATATAAAATATTACACTAATAAAATAATAATAATAATAATAATAATAATAATAATATAAAATATTCCAAGAGAACATAAAGTGTTTTGAAAACCAATTCTTTTTCTTGGGCCTGATCGCCATAAGGAAGACACTGGGGGCGAAGATAGCAAAGTTAATGAGCAGGAGACTGAGAACACAGAATTCTGGGAAATGTAGTTTGACAAGATGAGGCCCCGTGGCAGAGAATGCAAAAGGTCCTGCCCTAAACTACATTTCCCAGAATGCAGTGCTCAGCATCAGAAAGTCCCAAGCCATTTAGAGTCACTTTAATAATAAATAAAATTACTGAATCTGCAAAGAGGATTAAAGTAAGTAAGCAATAGTATAAATCTGTGCTAAGTTGAAGTTATGTGGTTGTGTGTCATGAAGACAGGCAGGCATTCAAGGGGATTGCTGTTGTCGCTTTTTGGGAGGATAAATTGTTTTTGTCTATAAACTTTTTAAAATCCCCCAAAATCTGGGTTGTTGTAGGTTTTTTCGGGCTATATGGCCATGTTCTAGAGGCATTCTCTCCTGACGTTTCGTCTGCATCTATGGCAAGCATCCTCAGAGGTAGTGAGGATCCCTCCCAATAGATGTCCATCTAGTCTCTGCTTCACAACCAGCAGAGGAGGAGGCTCTACCAGGGTTGGAAGGGGCACCCACCTCACTACCTCTGAGGATGTTTGCCACAGATGCAGGCGAAACATCAGGAGAGAATGCCTCTAGAACATGGCCATATAGCCCGAAAAAACCTACAACAACCCAATGATTCCAGCCATGAAAGCCTTCGACCCCCAAAATCTGTAGATGTGTGAATCTTTTTGAAACGCCTGGGGATTGATGCCCTGCTTATCTTGTGCATTGTATATAAAATTCAAGTAGATAGCTCTTGTAGTTTTAAATATATATATATATATATATGCGTGACCGCATCTCCGTCTATGAACCCACACGTTCACTTCGTTCATCCGGAGAGGCCCTGCTCGTGATTCCGCCTGCGTCGCAGGCGCGCTTGGTGGGGACGCGAGACAGGGCCTTTTCTGTGGTGGCCCCCCCACTCTGGAACACCCTCCCCAAAGATCTTAGACAGGCCCTACATTGGCAGTCTTTAGGAAGAACTTGAAGACCTGGCTGTTCAGATGTGCCTTTCCAGAATAGGAAATCTCCAATACCAAGTCCCAGAAGCACTTTAGTAGAACTAAGATTGCTGCACACTGCACATTGCACTTACCTTATAATCCTACATACCTCCTGCCACATCAGCACTTTTAATCTTGTACCCACTACTTTGGCCCGGCCCAGTTTTATAGTGTCTTGATGTATTGTTTATTGCTTATTGTTAATATTGCTTAACTGTTTTTAATTTGCTTTAGGTGTTGTATTGTGTTGTGTTTTGAGGCCTTGGCCTATGTAAACCGCATTGAGTCCTTCGGGAGATGCTAGCGGGGTACAAATAAAGTTTAATAATAATAATAATAATAATAATAATAATAATATTGTTTGTAAAATATTCAGAAATTGTACATATAAGCCACTCTGAGTCCCCTTCGAGGTGAGAAGGGTGGGATATAAATGTCGCAAATAAATAAATAAATCTGTTCTACCACCGTACCAAGTTTCACCCCAATAGCTTTAAAAATGAGGGAGATAGACGCCCCTGAAGTTTCCCCGATTATAGTAATGTAATTTCTTGAACATGGCCATACAACCCGAAAAACCTACAACAACCTATAGTAATGTAATCATGTGCAATTATGATATCGAAACACTAACGAAATTTCATTATTCTCATTAAAGTAACAATTTTTAATAAGTATACTTTAGAAACACTTTAGAAACACTTTAGAAACGAAGCGCCAGTGCGACCCAGTTTCGTAATGACTTTTATGGATTGCACATCCTTACCGGGTACAGAACCCTGGATGCTGGCTGGATGTCCTCGAGCCATATTGGTCCGAGACTGGGAAGTGGCCAGCGGTGTCGCAAAGGAAGCATCCGGAGCCAGAAACGCGAATAGCCTGCCATAGCGGTGCCGTTCAGCTTGCAAATCCTCTCTCTTGCTCTGTGTGTGTTTTCTTTCCAAGGCTGTGCTTTTATAGGCCACGGCGGGTGACGCAATACAAAAGGGGGAAGGCCTTGGCTTGCTTTCAAGAGCTGACGCAACTGCTTGCAAGAGCCTTCTCAATTTATCTGGAAGGAAGGAGGCCTTTCTCCTCTCGTCTATACTCTGTATTCATTAGCAGCCGTTCCTCTTAATATTCTAACAAGTACAATAACTGTAATTGATTTAAGTTTCCCTTATATTTTCCTTTCTAATTCATTCTCATCATATCATCTGCTTAAAGGAGACATTACACTTTGTAACCAAATTTGAACTACTTATTATAATATTATTAATTGAACATATTGTGTTGTTATTATTTTTATTGTTACTATTAGTGTAATATTTATATATCATAATAATTACTTTTTTATTTGTATTTATTAATGTAGTATTAAGTGAATATTTGAACTAATTATTATTCTAGTATTAATTGAATATTCATGTTTCGCCTTCACCTATGGCAGGCATTCTCAGTGGTCATGAGATCTATTTTATTGCTATTATTAGTGTACTGTTGTATTATTACTAGCCGTCCCCTACCACGGATTGCTGTGGCCCACATGGGGGTACTGTGTGGGAGGTTTGTCCCAATTCTGTCGTTGGTGGGGTTCAGAATGCTCTGTGATCAGAGACGGCCCTAGGTAATTTTCAACGTAAGCAAACAGTATTTTGCCCCCCCCCCCCACCAATCACTGATATATATTTTCTGTTCGTCATGGGAGTTCTGTGTGCCATATTTGGTTCAATTCCATCATTGGTGGAGTTCAGAATGCTCTTTGATTTTAGGTGAACTATACATCCCAGTAACTACAACTCGCCTATGTCAAGGTCGATTTTCCCCCAAGAGCGCCTCAAGAGCGCCCCTGGGCAAAATCAACTATACTGCAAATGCTTACTTTGCGTAATGGGTTGAGCCGCCCCTGACTGCCCACCAAACCCTTCCAGTATTTTCTGTTGGTCATGGGAGATCTGTTTGCCAAGTCTGGTTCGATTCCATCATTGGTGGGGTTCAGAATGCTCTTTGATTGCAGGTGAACTATAAATCCCAGCAACTATAACTCCCAAATGACAAAATCAATTTTTTGAGTGAAGGACATACATTGGGTTGTTAGTTGTCTTGTGTCCAAATTTGGTGTCAATTCATCCAGTGGTTTTTGAGTTCTGTTAATCCCACAAACGAACATTACATTTTTATTTATATAGATAGGATTAATAATTACCATTTTATTTTTATTTATTATTCTATTATTAATTGAATAATAATAGAATGATCATTATAATTCTATCAGCCTTTGGTTCTGCTTACCTAGCAGTTCAAAAATAGTAATGTGAGTAGATAAATAAGTACCGCTTTGGTGGGGAGGTAAAAAGGCGCCCATGAAGACATGCCAGCAATTTGATCAGGAAGGCATCCACGGACAACAAGCTCTTTGGCATGGAAAACGGAACAAGAGCACCTCCCCATGACCAGAGTCGAGCACAACTTCCAGATGCCGGAGATGAAAAAGAGGGAAGCCTTGTCTCTGTTTATGTATTGTCTGTCTTTGTTAATTGTATAATGGCAATGAATATTTGCCATATATGCTCTGTAATCGACTTTGTGTCCCCTCGAGCAGAATATAAATAAAGTATATTATTATTATTAAGTAAAGGTAAACTTTCCCCTTGACATTAAGTCTAGTCGTGTCCGACTCGGTGGGTTAGTGCTCATTTCCATTTCTAAGCTGAAGAGCCAGCATTGACCATAGACGCCTCCAAGATCATGACTGCATGGAGTGCCGATACCTTCCCACCGAAGCAGTACCTATTGATCTACTCACATTTGCAGGTATTCGAACTGCTAGGTTGGCAGAAGCTGGGGTTAACAATGGGAACTCACCCCATCCTGGAGATTCGAACCACAAAGTTTTGCAGCTTAGTGGTTTAACCCACTGTGCCATAACGGCCCCTTATTATGATTATGATTATGATTATGATTATGATTATTATTATTATTAAAATTTAAATAAACATAATGTAACACATCACACACATTTCCCATGATAAAATCCCAACGATTACAAAGCAAACTAAGAGGCATTAAAAGCATAAGCATAAAGTAGTTCACAACTTCCAACAAGCTGAGTTGGGTGTCCAATATCTGGGCGAGGGCAAATATAAAGATGTACTAGCCCTCCTCTTAGTCGCCAAGCTGAAGACCCAAAACAAACAAAAAGAGACCTGCAGTTTGAAGTATTTATTCATTAATAATCCATTCATCAATAGTTAGCGTTACACGTGCTTCTCTTCTACTACAATTCATATCAATACCAACATGTGAAATGAGAACAGTTACATCCAAAGTTTGCTTAAGATCAAAATCCAGTTCAGGTGTATCCGATGTTGCCCGTTCTCTTAGTATGCTACCCTCTTTTAAATTCTTTGAGTCACTGCTTTGAGTCTCTTAAGAGAGAAAAATGGCATGTTTTCAAGTTGAAGTTCTATCTTATCTATTGAATTCAGCCACTTGATGCAGCACATTTGGCGTTCTTGGTTCCATGACGGCTTTCCAAGAGTCTCTCCAAGTCCATTCCTCTCCTAACCTTGGGCCCGGCTGTTTTCGTGGGCTTCGGGTTCTGGTTCGGCAGGGTTTCCCGCCCGGTTGACTTCGATGGGGACGGTCCGTGGCTCCGGTTCTGTCGAAGGGGCTTCGATGCGCAGCTTTCCTTCGCTGGAGATGGAGCAGCTCAAGCGCTCACGGTCGACACTCTCCGGCACGTTCCATTCCCTCCGGAAGATTTCGTAGCGGAAAGGCCCTTCCGGTGTCTGGGTTGCCTTCTTCCCAGTGAGGACCACCTTCTCTCCGCACAGCTTGACCACCAACTCCTGTGGGTCGAACCCGGTCATGTCTTGGGTTACAGCGAACGGGGCAGTGGTGTGGTTCGCCGTCTCCGAACCATGGGTTGTTTCCCGTCTGATCGTAGTGCTCGTCGATGTCCTACTGGTGGTAGCTGGTCTCCAATTGCTGGTCAAGAGGTCCCACATTGCATCCATTTCTCGTTCCAAGTCATCGAAGAGCGAGCCGGCTCTTGGCCACAGGATCTGGCTCCGGCTCCGGAGAGGACTCCGAGGAGGAGCGGTGAGGTGGAGTCGGCACAGCATCTTTGTTGCAAAGGATTCGGCTTCTCCGTAGTGTTGTGCCTCTCTCTGAGCTGCTCGCCTTTTTATAAGGGAAGCCCCGAGGAAATGCCGTATTTCGGGCTGTTCATTCAGCGCCACGGCATCTTGTGTTTACTCACTCGCCCAAAGCAGCACTGTGCATGTGGCAGATGCCCAGCAGGTTCCATCAGATTTATATATAGTCAAACTTCGGAAATAGAAGCTGAGTTTATCCGAGCTGAAGATGTCCGCAGCAAGTCATCCCTTCCGACTCAGCGATCGACTCATCTTTGTCTTGTTTGTTCTGGGAAGTCGGAACTGTCAGGGGTATAAATATATGGGGTACAAATACACACAAGCATGTAGCCAAGGGGTCGGTTTAGGGATTCAAACCACCCCCAAAATCTTTCAGGTAAAAAAAACCTGGTTTACTCATGGATTTCAACTGCTTAACCAAATCCCTATGCCAATAATAATAATAATCTGTGTGTATCATTCGAAAATACATCACACAGTCCTAGACGCTTGGGAAGTGTTCGACGTGTGATTTTTTGATATGAAATCCAGCATATAGATCTCGTTTGCTGCGACATACTGTGTTTTGTGCCATAATAATAATAATAATAATAATAATAATAATAATAATAATACATTATAATACATTATAATACTTTATTTGTATTCCGCCCTATCTCCCCGAGGGGGCTCAGCATATACAGACACAAAGGCAAACATTCAGTGCCTAGAAACAATGAAACACAGAAACACAGATAAATGTAAAGGTTCCCCTTTCATCTCCAGCTCTGCAAGTGGTGCTCATCTCCATTTCATTGTCTGTAGACACCCCCAAGGTCATGTGGCCAGCATGACTGCATGGAGCACTGTTTACTTTCCCGCCGAGGTAGTACCGATTGATTCTATTGATCTAAGGGGCTGGGCTTTAGCACAGCTAGTAAATCACCAGCAATGATAAGAATACCAGCTGAAAAGTTATCAGTTCAAAGCCCTAGGTCAGCGTGAGCACCCGACTGTCAGCCCAGCTCATCGTTTACCTAAGCAGTTCGAAAACAGCTTGAGTTGTAAGTAGAAAAATTAGGCATCGCTAAAACAAGCAGGGGAGGTATTTTATGACACCATAAAGAAAAACATCAGAAAATGACTCAACATGATGGAAGTTGTAGTTCACCCTGCATCAAGACAGAACACTGTGACCCCCACTGACAAGGGTCCTTTATTTATAGGAGTTGTAGTTCACATCCAGAGATCATTGTGAACTCAAAGAAAGATGGATCTGGACCAAATTTGGCATGCATACTCGATATGCCCAAATATGAATACTGTTGGCCAGGGCTTTAGCAGGGACCAGAGCTTTAGCACAGCTGGTAAATCACCAGCAATGATACGATCTACCAGCTGAAAGATTGTCAGTTAGAAGCCCCGGGTCGGCGTGAGCACCTGACTGTCAGCCCACCTCACTGTTTACCTGAACAGTTCGAAAACAGCATGAGCTGTAAGTAGAAAAATTAGGTAAAGGTAAAGGTAGTCCCCTGACATTAAGTCCAGTCATGTCTGACTCTGGGGTGTGGTGCTCATCTTCATTTCTAAGCCGAAGAGCCAGCGTTGTCCGTAGACACCTCCAAGATCATGTGGCCAGCATTACTGCATGGAGTGCCGTTACCTTCCCGCCAGAGCGGTACCTATTGATCTACTCACATTTGCATGTTTTCGAACTGCTAGGTTGGCAGAAGCTAGGGCTGATAGCGGAAGCTCACGCCGCTCCCCGGAATCGAACCTGTGACCTTTCGATCAACAAGCTCAGCAGTTCAGTGCTTTAACCCACTGTGCCACCGGGGGATTAGGTATCACTAAAACATGCAGGGGAGGTATTTTACGACACCATAAAGAAAAAGACCAGAAAATGACTGGCGACCAAAGGGAAGGAGGAAGTCCTGCTGGCTCTTCGTCATAGAGAATGGAGTGATGGCACCCCCTGTGGCTGGATTCGAGCACAACCTTCAAGGCATCAAAAAGCTGGACGTTGATACAACATACCTCCTTTCTCTTCTGTCTGTCTCTGTCCTGTCTGTCCAAAACCGGCATTGAATGTTTGCCGTGTATGTGTACTGTGATCCACCCTGAATCCCCTTGGGGAGACAGGGCAGAATATAAATAAAGTGTTTATTGTTATTATTATTATTATTATTATTATTATTATTATTATTATTATTATCACCTTTGCATGTTTTCGAACTGCTTGGTTGGCAGAAGCTGGGGCTAACAGCAGGAGCTCACCCCATCCTGCAGATTCAAATCACCAACCTTTCGGTCGGCAAGTTCAGCAGCTCAGCGTTGTGCCATCGCGGCCAAGTCTATGAGAAGCAAAAATTAGAGACACTCCAGAATGGCAAACACGATCTCAACCAAATTTTCTACTAATTTACATTGCAATAGCAGCAATCGCTGACATAGTGGAAGCGACCAAGTTGGCCTACCCGCCCTGCCAAAGAAACCATGGAACCAGAGCAAAGAGAAGAAACTGTGTAATTGTCAGACCTTGGACTTTGTATGAACAAGACTGTGTCTGATGACTAAGGGAAAGCTCAATTAGTGCAAAATCCATAGACTCCATTGTCAGGATATGTATTTCCTGTGGATAAGAAGAGGCAACAGAGGCCAGGCTACCTCTATACAGATTCTCTCACTGATTGACTTTGCAAACTTCATGGCCACTCCAATGCTAAGTCAAGCTTGCTGATTGCAACATTCACACAAGGGATGGCCTGTATTCTGATATAGGATTCTGGCCAGTCTATATAATTTAATGAATATTTTTGTGAATATTTTTATGAATATTATTTTGTGAATATTTTCCATGAATATTTTTCTGCAAAAAAAAAATTAAGAATACTCTTTGCAAATACTTTTGTGATTTTTTAAAATGAACACTTTTTGTGAATATTGTATACCTACTTTGCAGGAAAAATGTGTGCAAAAATATTTGTAAAAATGTTAAGAAAAAATATAGGCATTCACAAAAATATTTGCAGGAAAATATGCATAAACATATTCACAAATATATTTTTAAATATTTTTGCAGATGTTTAAAAATACTAGTAACAATGAAAATGAACAAAATCTGTTTGCCAGTATTAAAAAAAAAACACCAGTCAATAAAGAGCAACACTCAGAAAACAGGGGGACTCCAGACAGCAAACAATTAGGGGCCAGTAAACACCTCCCAAACAAAGGGTGCCTCCAGGCAACAAAGGTTAGGCTACCTCTATGCAGATACCCTCACTGATTGAGTTTTCAGCTTCATGGCTGCTCAATGTAATCAAGTTTGCTAATTGCAACCTTCACACTTGCTTCAAATAGACAAGGGTTCTTTCTCCCACCCTGGACATCATTCCACAAGGATATATACACCCCATTTGCTTCACTACTTCTATGCAGATACCCTCACTGACTGGCTTTGCAGGAAATAACACTTCCAAAACAACAGATTTTTTTTAAAGTTACATAGTGTAATAAATAAATAATAATATAAATAAAAGAACAATTATTAATCTAATTAAAATAATACAAAACATTTGACTGATAATAATAAAAATAATTAAGAATACTATAATTATAATAAATACAAATAAAATAATATTAGTCTAATCAAAATATAAAATATGACACTAATAATAATAAAATATTCAATTAATGCTAGAATAGTAAATACAAATAAAATAATAATTAATCAAATGATAATATTAAATATTATTATGAATAACAAAGTAAAATAAAATATTCAATCAATTCTATAATATAAATAAAATAATAATTATTAATCTAAACATGGTATAAATATTTCACTGGAAATAATAAAATATTAATATAAAATATTCAATTAATAATACTATAAGTATAATTTTAAATGCAAATACAATGATAATCTGATAATATTAATATAAAATACTACACTAATAATAATACAAAAATAATATAAAATATTGTACTAATCACAATAGTTTCTGGAGTGTAACAATGACTTTCAAAGTACAGACCGCACAATTAAACAGGAAAGAACACTTTCAAACCAAAAAACAAAAATTTCAATTTTTTTACATAGCGTAATATGGTGCTAACATGGCAGTGAATGGTGGGACGGCTTTGACGGTGTCCTGTCTGGCAGAATGGGGTTGGACTAGATGGCCCTTGGCATCCCTTCCCAGTTCTGGACTCTTTGTATTCTATAAACAAGGGCTGGATGACCATCTGCCTGGAGGGATCAAGTCCTCGTTCCTGGCAGAAATGGGGTTGGATTGGATGAGGTGTCTTCCAGCTCTACAATTCTTTCTCTGGAGGGTTCAAAGCAGAGGCTGGATGGCCATCTGTCAGGAGGACTTTGATGGTGTCCTCCAGCCTGGCCCAAAAAGGGTGGGACTGGATGACCTTCAGGGGTACCTTCCAACTCTATAAGATTCTATGATATCATCTTTGGTAGTATCCTCTGTCGCTGGATGGCCTGCGTGTTTATTTTTACAAGCAGAGTGGGTATGCGATTGAAATGACTCACGCTCTGTCATGTCAACAACCTATTTCTGCAATGTCTTGGCATGTTCACCTACACTCTTATAAATACTCTGCAGCAACAACTCCCTTGGTATGTGGGCCTGGCATTGACCGCTGATCTAGCGCAATGCTTCCCAGGTCACCTTTCCTATTATTACACTTCTAGCTAGCTTGGGTCCCTGGCGTTGCCTGGGTTTTATTTGAAAAAGTCATTTTTTAATTGTACAAAATGCACAAGGTTGTGGGTGAACTACAGCTCCCATCATGCCAGGTTAACCCCCTGAAACTTAATCAGTAATTAAAGTTTTTTATGCTGGGCAAGTTTGCTCTGGATGCATCATTGGTGGGTTCAGTGTGCTCTCTGGCTGCAGGGTAAACTACAACTCCCACTATGGTGAGTCAATCCCCTCAAACCCCTCCAGTAGGTTGAGTCAGTCATGGGCATTCTGTGTGCCAAGTTTGGTCCAGGTCCATCATTGGTGGCGGTCACAGTTTCTCTGGTTGTGGGTGAACTACAACTCCCAGAAAGGAAGGCCAGTACCGCCAAACCTC